TCGTGGCGACAGCAACCAGGGAACAAACCGAGTATCAACGTTTACGGGATCAAGCCGGAAAATTGCTGCATAGACTCAACGTTCCGAAATCGATCAGGCGCAAAGTCAACACCTGGTTTTCCTACACTTGGCGAGAACAGAAGTGCTTCGGTATATAAATGGTATTTCTGAAATGTCACTCACACTTCACGACGAACACACTTTTATTGCGAAGATGAACGTGATTTGCTGGAGGGAATGCCGAGAAAGCTTCGAGAAGACGTGACACTGAGCGTGCACTTGAAGACATTGAGCAGAGTGAAGCTCATCACTGATTGCGCCGGAAGAGACTCGATGCTGCTCCTCAGAGATTTGGTCTTGAAACTGAAACCCGTCACTTTCCTTCCCGGCGATTTCGTCTGCAAAGAGGTATGAATAATCCATCAGAACATGCGTCGAAAAATTAGAAAATAATTCTCACTACCTTGAGGTCCGAGACGTCAGGAAAATCGAGAAAACTCGTGGAAATTTTCAGAAAATTTCCCAAATGGAGTCGAAGTCATGATTCCAACTTCGAAGGCTGGTCAAAATCAGAAGGAAAGGTTGTGTTCCAGTTCCTCGTTTCGATTTGGAAAAATTCTGAATTGTGTACACAACTGCGATGTCAACATCGTATCGGAAAATCATTCAAAAGAACAAATACGTTGAACCTGATAACTCCACGAAAGAACCCGGACACTGCGTCCGTATACAGAGCGAACTTTTCCTTATGCTTCCAGTCGCTGAAAATGTAACTGCAGTAGTTCCGGAGTATAAAGCACATCCTCGCATTTCTCATCAGGTTAATTTGTCATAAACGTTTATATATATAATCGAGCACTAAAATTTTTGGCAAATGCGCACAGCGTCAAGCAGGCCTAAAAAAGCAGAAAAAGTAGCAAACGAGAAAAATCCCTGACTGATGCAAAATACGCTGAAAAGCTTTCGGTTAGATTTCATCCCTTTCGAACAGAATTCTAAATACAGTAAACACAGCGCGGTGTTTTTTACTATAATTATTATAGGAACGTTCTCCTTTTTATTCCGCTTGATAGTTTTGTTGCACAATTCCGCGCGGAACAGTATCATAATTCTTATTTGTGAATTATTCTTCTGCACAAAGATCCCTTGCCTCCAAGTTTCGCATTCTGCCAACTCATTCAAGTAGTAAAGTACTGTGAACCTATCAATTACAATTCCCTGTAAACCTTCTTTCTTCTTTGGACACACACGTTTGTTTCCCTGACTAGAATTTTTTGATGATTTCTTGAAGTTCGACTTTTCATGCGCTGAGAAGTGTTTCAAATATTTTATTCTATTATCGCGATACTTCATCAACTTGGGAAGGCACCCGGTGATTCAAGGTACTATTCGGATCTTCATTCGACTCCTGAAGTATTTTTCTCTGCCTCCAAGCCCGCAAAAATGACACGCGGCGCAAATTTGTCTTTCGAATGAAAAGTCTGAAAACTATTGCGAGGAATTCTATTCAGGATCAACTGCATTGCTCTAATCGCATTCGAACGTTTGAAAAGTATGAGCTGAACATATCCAGGGCGAAATAGGACGCGAAATGTTCATTCTGAAAGCTGGCAAACTGGACGTTCTCGGCGGAGACGACGGCAAAACAGTCCTCGTCACCTTGCACGAAGGCAGCGTGATCGGAGAAGTGAGTCTCCTCGCAGATTCCGAAGGCGCACGAAGAACTCGAGACGTGGTGTGAGTCAAAAAACCCCGTATCATCTTATTAATCATACGCACAACGCAGGCAGATCAATTCATTTCACAACTGATGAATAAAACTGACACCCCGTTAATCGCAGATCGCAGGGCTTCTCCACACTTTTCGCGCTGTCGAAAGGCGACCTGACTGAAACCATTCGCGACTATCCCGAAGCGCAAAAGGCTTTGAGAGCCAAAGCGAGGTAACGAAAAATATTTTCAACCGCCTCCTACAAGTAAACATTGCTTCTTCGTTTCTTTGCTGAATTCTAAACGCAACTTGGTGGTTAAACGCTTCTCTTAACCTTGACATTCTTCACGAAAAAAGGACAGTAGCACATATCCTGATCATACTAAAAATGCTGAATGGATTAACATTCTCGGGAGGCTTTCCATTAAAGTTGCGAGGATCAATGTGAGAGCCTGAATCTGAAATTTTATTTTAGCCCGAAGTCAGTTTTCACCAGGTACAGATACGTTTTTGTTCAATTCAAAATTAGACCAACATTTTTCGGTTCCCCCTTGAGACACGACGATGAAGAGGATTCACATACAGTACATAATTGCATTGAAAAAAAAAGTAAGCGTACGAGTTCAATTCGGAAAAATATGACTGAATTACAAATTTAAATCTTTCTTCACATTAACATGAATACTCTGACAAAAGCTTTCAAAATAAAAATTAAAATAGCACATGATTGAGCTAAAAAAAAATTTATTCATCAGAAAAAAGATTCTTTGGCACAAGAAAACAAAATTCATTTCCGTTGAACTTATTTTTCAGAAATGTTTGCAGAAGTCACGCTGGCAGCTTTCTGCTCTTCACTCAGAAGATGAGGCGCCAATCTCAGATTTTTTGGCGCAACCCAGCCTTCAGAATTCTTGTAATTGACATAGCATGAATTCCAGGGGTTGCCTCCAGGTCTTCCGCGGTAATTCCGCCATTTTCACCAACAGCCGCCACAAGGGATGAAAATAGGGCAGCTGTGAAGGTCAATTAATTGAGGCAAACCTTGGAATTAATGCAATGTCAATTTTAAGAATTCTGAATGCGAAGCTGGGGTACACCTAAAAATCTGCGAGATGGAGCCTCATCTTTTCAGTGAACAACAGAAAGCTACCGGAGTGACTTTTGCGAACCTTTTTCTGAAAAATACAGTACGTCAAAACAGAGCTGCAGTTTTTCTTACGCGTAAAGAATGCTAATGATTTCCTTGATCTCAATCGAATGCCATTTCGATTTCTACTACGAGAACATTTGTTAGTACAGTATGTAACAAACGTTCTCGCGTACCTGGTACGTTCACTAGGACTCATTCGGCGAGGCTAGAATCAGGAGAGTTGAACGAACATTCAGCTAAAAATTATATCGTTTAATGACCTCATTTTCGACTCAATCAATGGACAAAATAACTCAAATCCATCAACAGGGAGCTCCTTCATGCCCATCACGCAGTTCAAAAACTGAACCTCATGCGCGACATGTGCGAAATGGCAACAGTCATCAAAACGGAGCCCAAAAAACCTGACCCGAAATTGCTGAACGTCGTCAAAGCGGTAAGACCGAAAGCACAAAAATCTGATTTCAAAAGAATAAATTTCTTCGCGAATAACGAAAAAAATTGGTGGACTTCATTATCACAGGCTTCAGGACCGCAATCGTTTACCGTCGAGCTACTTGAGAAAGGTCGTCATGCGAGAAAACGCCGACAGCAGGACGGCGGAAATTCGGAGGAAATTGGACGAACAGATTAAAACGCCGTTCGCAAAAAAAAAAAAAAAGCGGAGGACTTCACATCTTTGCTCGCAAGGGCGGATAAATGAGCACAGAAATGTAGACAGGGTATTTCCGACTCTCGTGGAAAAGTCAATACCGGACGAAATTCTACAACAGCATGAAAATATGCAAAGGTGTCGACACTTTTAGTTGTTTGGAATTATAAGATTGCAGAATGAAGTTCTTTGCAATTGTGATAAAACCAACTTTTCTCTCTGTGACAAAGCTCATGCATTGAAAATGTCTCATCACCACGTCCAATAATGTACACTCTCTAGCGCGGCGCTGCCCAACTCAGATGTGGCCAAGTGCCACATTAATATATTTTGGGCCAAGGGCCACATCGTTGAGGTGTAGAGTTCTTGCAGGCCCCAAGAAACAATAACTTTTGTGCTTCCAATTTCCCCATTTTAAATGAAAAGTTTCAAATGTAATGCAGTGCTATGCATTTAATCACAAGCATGGCCTTACAGAATCGCTGGAGGGTGGAGCAACATTTTGTATTCTTAAAATTCTTCTTTTGAACTATATTTTGAAAAGTGGTGGCAGCTGGCCCTTTGAATAGGGAAGGGGTCCCTTCCCCGCAGGGACGGCAGGATGGCTGAAGAGTCCCTTTGAGCCGAATATGGCCCACGGGACATATGTTGCGCAGCACTGCATGAGCGTCTTGTAAGATAGAAAAAGGTTCTCCAAAATAATATTATGACAATCCTTAGGGTCCTACCGTGGGGATGGAAATAGAACGAAAAACAACGACGACTCTTCGTTCATAGAGGTAAGCTTCGCAGCAGGGCGAAGATGAACTACCGTAATTTGTCAACTTCACCAAGAAATAAGGTTTGAGAGACGTGGAAATTAATTTCAGCTTTGAAACCTCGAGAATCTCACAGTTATTGCAAGGCTAAACAGGCAAATTTCAAGCGGCGTTTTCATACCAAATCAACAAACCACAAATACTGCACGTCGAACTTGGCGGCAATCATGCGCAGAGAAATCGGCTGGTTAATCATGAAATAAAGTCTGGTATACTTTTTTCTACAATTCCCCTTTTAACTTTCGAACCAGCACGATACCTTGGGTAAAAGTGGATCAGACAAAAGAAACATTCCGAAGCGGTAATGAAAGCTGAAAAAAATCATATCTTCGGAGTTTTAGATCAAGATTAGGCGTTCAGGTATCGATGAGAGAGAGCACAATCTAACGAGCCTTTTCCGCAACTGCGACTCCCAACAAAATAAAGGTCGAAATTGCGACTGCATTTACTGCAATCGACATCACGAGGACCTGCCAAAATGGATACGTAACGGCGACGAACGCAGATGTAAATCAAAAGCTTCGTTGGGCAAGAACGACAGGCAAGTCTTCAGCACTAAGAAAAAACCCTATTTTTCACTGTATGCACGTAGCAATTGCCCGACGAAAAGACGGTATCCCACATCATTCGTTGAAGAAAAGTAAGCAGCCCGTGTCTCCCTTTCGAATGTCATGATTCGGTGATGGCAGCGTGGGTAGTTCCGTAGCTTCCGGATGGGATCACATTGCTTCCGCCAGGTCCTCCGCCGCGGAGCTTCAGAACGGAGAATTTCTAAAAGGTCAATAACGGTCTCCTGCCCAGGGACTAGTCCGGCTTGAGAACGAGTTTGCGTGGGCCCGTTAAAGGTAAGTGCACGTCGACCAGTGCCTTGTCTAGGTTGCTAATAGGTTTTGTTATTAGTCATTGGGAATGAGCAGCATTTCTCCAATGGTCTAATTCTGATTCATCCTGACTTTTTTAAAGTTTAAAAAGGATTCATCAGATAAAAGCCTGACAAAGAATCACACACCTACGATCACGACTCTTTTTGAACTATCGTGATATTGGATTATAGACATTTACAATTTGTTTCATGAATTGGTCTTGAAATCTCATCAACACCCGGAAGGTTTCAAATGATAATTTTTTTTCACTTTTTGTGGTGAGGGTCAAGATGACTAAGCCATGCATTGAAATCTAAACGGGAACACGTTACGAATTTATTCAGAGAAGCAAGATCCAATTCATTCCAGGTAGGTCTGATGCGAAAATTTGTTTCCAGTTATTAATTTTTAAAATCTTGTTATAACCAATTATTCAGTGTGACGAATTTTTTCCGAAGCCCCGAAAAGTTCGGTGTAAGGAAATTTTACTGTAGTAATACACAGAAAGTGGAAACTGCTCAGGATTCAGAAATGGTGTTTTCCCATTGATCACACGACCTCCATGGAACGATTCCTACCTCCTACTACTGCACATAGGTGTCACTTGAACTTCGTTACATTCACGACATTTTAATGTCGTACAGTACACACACTCCTTTCAGTTGAGCTCCAACCCAATAGCCAAAAGAACAAGGTCGAGCGTTATTCAAGCTGATTGTATACGAGGAATATATAGAACTCCATATTTCGTTTACATAATTGAGAAAACCTCTGCTGAAACACAGACTCATTCGAATATAAAAGACAGTTTTCAAGACCAAACATGGTCTTGTCCACTCCATGCGACCGCACTCATCAAATTCCAAAGGACAACTCACCGATCCTTGCACTGAAAGACGGATCATACCATAGCCCTCATGTAAGCCGGCAACTCCATGAGGCAAAAACGGGTTGAAACAAACATTCCGACACTCGATTTCTGTTCCGAGAAAGCCAGCTATGCAATCAGCGCCTTCTAAACGTCGAATCTGATTACCCGAGTCCTCTACACTCAGCCAAGCGTCAGGATAAAAATGGTGCGGTCCGAATTCCTAAAAAAAAAATAGAAACGAGTGTTCCCTCAATGTTAGCAAGCTGCAATCGAAAAATGCATCAGTAAAATTGTTTTAGAAAATTTGGAAAAGATCGCACCTGCGAACGTTGATTCAGCATCCTGTAAAACCACTCAGCGTATTCCAAGCTGAACTGCTTCACAGGAAACTCCGAATCACTGGGTTCGGCGGGTTGCCCCGCGTATGAAGGAACAGTTTGGCTCGGCGGAGGCTCGGGGATTGCCTCATAAATATATTCGGGATTGTGATGTGTCCAATAACGCAGTACAGCTTCAATCAAGGCAGGCTTAAGCTGTCGTTCTCCGATCGAAACCTTTTGAGAATGAAGGTAGTTGAACAAAACGTCTCGCGTTATCTTCTGGCGACGGAGAAAACTCTCCGCTGATGTCGTGTGAAGAATTATTGCTTCTACCGATTCTGCAGATGCAAAAATAAAAGTCAGTTCAAAAATTTTTTTTAATCAATCCCGAACATTAAAAAAGAGGATAAAACCGTACCTTCAAGAGAGTCAGTACAGATGCGGCCACCAGTAATTGTATTCAAAATACTCCGCACCTCCGTTTCGGCACAGAAATCGTTTAAGATTTTGCGGATTCCAGCTTTTTCCACTTCCGACAATGCATTACTCATATTCCACTCAATCTGAAAAGTTTGCAAATCGAGTAGAAACTGGAAACTAGCAATAATTCTGACTTGACATTCCCGAAATTTCGTCGAACCCCTCAGAAAATCAGCTACGCTAAGTAGCGTTCTGGATAGAAACTCGAAGTTTCGATTCAATTGCAGGGAAAGTCAAGTCCTTGAATGTGAGTGTGAACATCAACGAAGCAATCGTTTCTTTCTCCGCGATTCTAGAATGCAAAATTCGCTTCGCAAAAAAGAGACCACTTCGATAGTATCTTCTGCTCATTCTCACGGTCATTTTTTGTTTTGACGACCGACTTTCTCTTTCCGCTTCTTCACGTGCTTCTTGATCTTCGTTTTCCGTTTTTCACGGTTTTCCTCCTTGACTTGGTTTTTTCTTTCCTGAAAAATAAAAAAACCGAACTTATAGGCAAGCTTGATAAAAATACTATGTGTTCATAGAGTAATAAAGCATAAAAATTACTCTGAAAATAAGAACGACGATTAAAATCATACGAATTGCTGATGGCCTGAAATTTAATTCAATTAGAAGAACTCAGAAGTAAAGTTTACTTTTCCTACGATGAACAGAAAATGAAAACGAGGCACCGCATGCAAGCAATAAAATTTCGTATTTTGTACAAAATGAACGATTGGGTGTGAAAGTTGATAAAAATTTCTTTGAAATCGTTGACGTGACTTGGTTTGATGATTATTCAGGCATCACGCCCTGAAGTGAACTGGATGACACATTTCTGGAGAAACAAAACATACCAAGAATATCTATCTAGAGAAACACAGGATATCTTTCAAATGAAACGAGGAAACTCGTGTGTATCGGGTGCAAATTTTAATCAATTCGAAAAGTAAATTCCCCATTAATCATGCTCATTATCAGAGAAGATCAGAAAACGCAAAAAATCTGTCACAAACCTTTCTACTGTTCGGAGATTCGTCCCGAGGTCGAGCAGAGTTCACGAATTTCTTCTTATCGTCATCATTGTCACGCCTTGGAAGGCTTCTTGGTGAAGGCCTTGAGCTTAGGCTCAGTAGGAGCCTTACAAGAAGTTACGGAAGAAAATACTGCAGAAGGCGTAAAAAGTTTTACAGACCAACTCAAACTCGTGGACTGTTGTCTTCCTTCAGGCCAACAACTTTGGCATAATAAGGCACTCTACCATCGTCTTCTCCTTTCCTCGTCTTCATTATATCTCGCTCAAAGTGCGCCACCTACATGAGTATAACGGGGAATTTTTTGCGTCAAGAGTGAAGCCGTGTGGATTAGGTTCGAAAATGAACTATGCGTCCTTATCGGACGTTAAACAATACGATACAGTGTGCAGTCCAGGTTCAATGCAATTCGTTGGTTGGAATGAGGAGAGAGAATACGGTAGGTGATATTTGGCTAACAGAGAATTTCTTACAAGTTGGAATTCGCCAATTTAAATTTTTATGACCGAAGTAGAGATACGTGCGACACCTGCCAGACATTCGAAATGACAATATTTGAGCGAGAAGTGAAGCATATCGTAAAAAATTCGGCTTGGTCAGCCTAATACAGGTGGACTTTCTCTACAACGAAATGGCAGCGGCGATAAAAAAAAAATGATTTGTAGAGAGAATTACGTTTTAGGAAACCGATGTAACATGGTGAGAGAACCCGAAAAATTCTTCATCCACAGGAAATCATTTTAGACAAGATCTTCGTCGAAAGAATCCACCTCTATATATATTTTACACATGTTGTTTACAGTATTAGGACAAAAACATTCCCTTAATGCCAGTGATTAGACCTGAAACTGAATTACCCGTATTTATTGAAGAACCATGTTGGGCAGCCACACACAACAAGGCAAATTACGTTTGAATATAACGCTGTATCTCAAAAACTGGGAATGTATCTCTCCCCAAAATTGCATTGCAAAGTCTTTGACTTGCCTTTCTAGGCCAATAAGAGGGTTTTAAATATTGCATGATTATCATCCAGTATTAAAATCATTGCCATTTAGGAGAATTGATAAGAAAGGCTTCTCACGTTCATGTCATCAGTGTTCAGTCCAAGTTCAGTTTGATCAAATAACCAATTTTGCCCTTTTATCATTGTATCTTCGAGGGGTTTGCTGAGTGTTCATCTTCTTCGTGTTTTTGATTTATTTTCGGGACAAACAGATACATTTTCAACTCAATTAGAAAGCCTCAAGATATTTCCGGCCCTGTTCCAGACTGAGCGGTCTGTTTAAATTCTTAATTTTCACTTTAAAGTTCAACCTCTGAAGATAATCTCAAGTAGTCTTGTAGGGACTATTCGTCACCAAAATACCACGTGCACCTTTTCCAGCAAAATTCGGCAAAATTTTGGGTGCTGTGGAATCAGGATATAAATTTGTTTAAAAAAGGAAGATCATGAAAAGTGCGTTGTTAGTCAGAAGGGAGCCTTTGCAAGAGAAACTAATGAAAAAATTAGTTTTCATAATTCTCCTCTTGTATAATGAGTCAAGTTATTATACTCATTGACGTGATTACTAGAACAAAAAACAGACTTTAAACCCGAAAAAAAAATCTGGGTGCGCGTCAAACACGGGGAAGGAAATTTGCGTCAAATTTCATCAGTGTTCAGTCCAAGTGTCACTCGATGGCGCATGGTTCTTTATTGGGACAATACTGATTTTGAAAAATGCGGACTGTGAGCAGAAGACGGAAAACTGCACCTCATCGAGTCGCTGAGGGATGAATGCTTGCTGAAACACTCGCTCGGCGACTTCTTCTTCGGCATTGGATCCAGACTCAGCTCTAGACGCTGTCACTTCTTGCATCTTTTCAAGGTACTCGTCGACTTTATTTGGCGCGATACTTGGATCCGTGACGAAGTCAAACAACTCCTTCACTGACATAACGTTCACGTTCTTCTTTCTGAAAAAATCTGAACACAAATTCATAAAGACTGAAATATCAAGAAATTTTACATGAAGAATTCGAACCTGTGATATTTGTGCAATCTTTCCGCAGGAATTCCAGAGAATGGGGATGGTCATGTTCCACTGATTGCGACACATCGATCACCTTGATTTTTCCGTCATGATACCTGATATATTAGCGAAATACAATTCATGCACCTTCGACAGCATCATCAAAACAATCTTCTAGTTTTGCGCACTTACAGCAGATTGAACTCGCTTAGATCCGCGTGAACCAACTTGCATTCGTGGTAGAGTCTCCTCATCATCACAACACAGTCGAAATAGAGTTCTCTCGCTTTCGACGAAGAAATATCGGCATCCTAAAAATTCCAATCCGTCAGTCAGCGAGTGTAACATTCACAAGAAAAAACAGAGAGCAGAACTCCGACGTCAGGAACGCTTTAAGCATAAAATCAATGATCTAAATTTCAATGACATCAACCGTCCAAGTAAATAACATCTTCTGGTAATACAAATTGCAAAATGAATAGAGACATCGAGTCTGAAGTTCAAATACTGTAGTAAAATAAATGTACATACGTAAACGTGTAATTCATATAATGCAGTTCTCAATTTTATTTTTCGAAATTAAGAAATGGGTTTGTGTGAATCGAGGTCAAATTCTGCGAAAACTTTTTCGATTTTCCACGCTGAATATTTTAAAAATCATCAGAAACCACTCGAATTTCCCCGTTCGGAACGTTTTTTCTCAAAAAACTTCGACACATTCATCGCCAATTTTGATGCCCTTCAGCATATAACGTACAGTATATTATTTCACTCGAGTCAAATTGAAGAAATTTGTTTGGGTAAATAAGAGATTAATTTCCATGGCCTTGTTCTTTCTCGATATTTTGGGCGGAATATCTCGAAAGTCACTACAGTAGAACCCACTTAAAACTTTCCCGCACGGAGCAATTTTTCTCAAACCTTCCCTGAAATATTCACTGCCACTTTGTATGCACTTCAGCTTATACAGTATTTCACTCACGATTTAAAAATTACCCCGGATTCTATCTCATCCACCAAGACAAAACAAAAACATTCTCATCATTACGACAGAGAAAAAAAGAAAAGAGGTCAATTTTTTTTTTTGGTAACTATTCGAAAAAAATCTTGTCTTTCGTTCGTTCCAAACCTTCAGCAAAGGCGACGGCCACCCGTTCACTCCTAGGAACTCCATCAGCAGCACGTGTCCTCTCAGCAACATGGGTTCTGGGACGGGTAAACCCGCCATATGCATTCGGTACAAGTTTCTCATTTCCTTTTCAGCCCATGTTCGCACCATCTTCCTCGGATTATGCTTGCAGTAGCCGTGTCGAAAACGAAACTCTCCCGCAACATATTTATCCCGGTCCTACAAAATGCAGCAAGGGAAAAAACAAGATACAATGAGGCCTCTAGATACGGACGATTCGACAGAGACACTTGAATTTAAAAGAAAATCTGCTGCGACATTCGGACAATATTTTGAGATATGGAAAATTCAACAGAATTCCTACAAAAATGAAAAATTAAACTCCTTCATTTTGATATCTCTTGAGGAAATTGAGTCATTTATAAAAAAAAAATTCTAAATACACTGAGACCCCGACATACATACGCTCCGACACACACACGATTCGACTTGAAGACACTTCGTTATCTCTTGAACGTATTGAGATATTCATATTCACTGAACTAAAAAATAAATTTCATCATACAGTACTGTAGTATCACTCAGATTCATAATCAAAAACAGATCAAATGTGTGTTTTTCAGCAGAGCACATTCATCGAAATTTGTGAAGAAACCACAAATATTGTCTCAAAGAAAAAAGTTAAGTTTATATCACTGTATACAGTATCACGTTTTTTTTTTATCATGGATGCTCGCAATTCCCTTATGCCGTGAACTTCTTGGCAAGATAAATAGGCGCACGAAGTCAAGGCTGCCCCTATTCCTGATTTGAAACACTTTACGATAGTAAAGAATACCACAAATCATAACCTCTTCAGTGTCATTCACGGCAAAACTTTACCTTGAAAACAAGGATGGACGTTTTGTAAATCTTGATGGCTTTGTCTCCAGTCGGACTAGCTGCATGATAAACATTCGCTTCTTTGCCAGTCGAAATACACCCGTTAACACTAGTGATGACACCTCGATTCAACAGTTTGAAGACGATCATTCGCGTTCGAGGATCCATGACCTGTTCCACGGTTGCTCGGTCTTCTTTGTCTCGAACTCTGGCTCTGAAATTCACAAACGAAATCAAGAAAAATATGTATTGTACAGGAATCGGAAAAGTGTCATATTCCATTCATTCCTGACTCACCTTTGCGATTCAAGCTTTCGTCGTGACTCAGACAGCAGATTCGCTGCATGGATCGGCAAATCCGGACCTTCGTATTTCTCTACATTTATCTTATTCGTGAATTTCTTGAACAAATTATCAGATGGCTGAAAGTGAACGACTTTTTGGCTAGTGACCTGACGATTCATGTGTTGTCCACGTCCACCTGAGAACGTAAAAGTTGTCAAAAACCATGATAAAAAAATATTGACAAAATGCACGAAGTCTCAAGATTTCATACCTACATTCGTAGGAAAATAATCGTAGTCGTCGTCGTCGTCATAATCATCACTGAAGTCTTCTCCGTCTTCGCAGTCCACCAATGCATCGCGAAGCACAGACACATCAACACGACTCTCCTCCATTCTGCTGGATATTCGGACACTTCCACCGAAACAACGACTATTCTCTGTGTGACTGAAGATGAGCATACATTGCAGTTCTCTCGCTTGACATATTTCGTTAAAAGCAAATTCAACGAATGGTTCTCTCGATGAATCGTGATCACTCACTCTTCAATTCAGTCCAACCTCTTCACGTCAAACTTCATGGGACCATTAAAAAAAAGATCCAAGTTAGGGAGGTTTTGAGTTAGGGAAACAAGAATGTGAGTCGGGGTAAAGAAAAAGAATTGCATGAAATTGTAATAGGTGATATTATAGGCAATAAATTGCTTCTTGAATTAGTTGACAAGATGCTGAACTTGGGCGTACTGTATTTGCCAAATTAGTTTTCCACTTACTTTCGAATCAGATCAAGTTACATTTGTATTGCTTTCCTTTTTCCTGCGTCAATAAAATAATAGCCAAAAAGCCTTCAGAAAATTCGAGTTACGGAGGTTTGAGGAGGAAAGCCCTTGAGTTACTGAGATTTGTAAGGCATTTTTTCTGAGGGACTTTATACAGGCGCTTAAAAAAATTTGGCATACGGAGCTTTGACTTACCGAGGTTCAGGTGTATAAAGAATACAACTTCAATTCGATGAAGTCTAAATTTAAGGCAATCGATATTCCTTTTCATAGACGAGAAAAGCTAGAAATGCTTACGGTGACAGTTTAGTTATTCAATTAATTTATTCAAAAAGTAAGGCATAAAAAAATTGAAAAAAAAGCTGGGTAAAACGTAATGCAAAATAAGAAAGTTTCGAAAATGCAGACGAGGAAATTGACGAAAACGAAAATGTCGAACGAACCAAGTCACGAATTTTAGGTCATTCTATGACCTAAAATTGATGGAGTTGAACCAATAGTCCATTCTATTGTTTCTTGATCTTTCCGGACGCGCAATTTCAATATTTCCTGCTTTAAAATTGACGCGGCGGAATTTTGAAAATTGCTCACATACGACATTCAATATAATCTTCAGTGGATTTTCAAGAGATGGTTCTTGCTAAGTATGAAAAATCCTCAAGAGGGGACCACGATTCCAAAAAGAGAGCCTTTCCGAAGTAAGAGAACGAAATTGCTCGTGCACACGATTGTTCCTTTGATATTCAAATAATCACCAAAAAATCCTTAGGACAGGTTTCACAAATAATTTCTTGTGGCACATTCAAAAACCAATTTTAGCCTCACAGGAAAAGCAACCAAAAAAAAATTCCCACGATTCTCGCAGTAATATCCCAACAAACGCAGAAAAAACGAGGGACTCGCAACAAGTAAAGAACGGGGGAATCACACATGATCCGCATCCGGTAAAATGCCCGCGACGAGAGAAAAAAAAAATTCAGGCGCCACGATTGCACTTCCGCTCCCAGACCGATACCAAGCCTCCCAGGCCTTCATCAACACTTCCGAGGTTTTCTTTTCTCACTTGGATAAAAAAAAAAGAAAAAGCTGCAGTTGAGTCTCAATTGGACCCCGCGGTCAACGAACTTACGGATATTGGTTTGAAAACCTGCTCGTGACGAATGACAAGGAAGCTCACATCAGTTGCCAACAATTTTCCGGGCAGTTTTTCGAGTTCGGGGTAAAAAGCGCGGGTTCGTTCTTTCACACTCCCATCGGATCCCTTCCAGTTCTTGAAATCCCAGCCTCTCAATTTTAGAGATACCGTGGGTCCAATAAAATCAATGTGCGGCGGAGCAGTGACCGTATCTCATGCCTTATAAGCCCGGGTAAAACGGATTCATCAGATCATCGAAATCAGCGTTACTTTCATCGAACACGCATTAAAAATTTGGCCCTACTTGATGAAAATTCCACCCAGATCTAGTACAGCTTATATTAAAATGATTTCGTGATTGTCACTGAAAATAAATGCGCAAACTAAAAAAAAAAAATGCGTAGTCACAATGGAAAAACAAGGGAGACAGAACACATGGATTAAAAAATGCCTTGATCACTACCTGAACGGCAACGTTTTGGACACCCTGTATTCAACCTTTCAGAAGACGAAGAACATCGTATAAAATTTAAAACAGCGAGTAGATTCGAGGGTATCGTCTTGGTCCACAAAATGTTATCATGTAATTTGTGTTTCATCAAAAAAGCGAATATTCTGGATTAAAAAAAAAAAAAAACCAAGAATAGTCTCACATCAGATACAGGAACGAAACTTAAAGACGGCGATTTCAATCTTTCAATATTGCGAAGGATCTTTAGATAGGCCACTAAATATATTTTCACAAAGACTAAAGCCCACGAGATCAAATAAATCAATAACCTTTCACCTTATCACATGTACGTTTGTCTCACGTTGACTAGCGATAGATACACCGAAACCGTCTTCGATTACATCTTCTGACTTCCAACTTAACCCTTCCTTAAAATTCATCTCTCGCTTCCTTCACAAAACTTGTAATCGACTGAGACAACACAAAGTGGGCAAAAAAAACTTGGCAGTTCCCTCACTAGACATAAATGTCGTCAGAGTAATCCGATGGGAGGGTGAAAAGTATTCTTGCAGGGAAGGTGCAGGGTACACAAGCAGCATGATTATCCCTGGCTCTTACTAACACAATCAGGACAAGCGGAAATTTGCTGCCCCGGTATCTTCATCAGCCCATCTTCACCTTTCCCTGGAATACGTTGTGCGTGTCCGCATGAATAAACTCTGATAACGTTTGGTCCCGTGGACCTGGAAATAAAACCAGCGAATAATCACATTAAACACGACCATTTGAAAGGAATAAAGCGCGTGTTTACCACGATCCTCCTCCCGAGGATTCGATTGTTTGCGTCAACTGCGTTCCGTCTAAAGTCACGGAATAACGAGCTTCAGCGGGAATTTCTTCGAAGCTCGCAACAACTTCATTCCCGAGTGCAGGCGGAAGAGCTCCATCAACAGTCATTTGTCTCAAAAGCTCTTCAAGCTCCGGAACACCTGAAATCCACCAAAAGCCTTCGAGTTAAGCATGGACTCTCTCTCTACAACAAAATTCAGGATTCAGAAAAATGTGTGTTGCATATAACCTCTCTAGAACGGTTAGAGAACCTTAGTTATGAGACAAAACATTCGTTGTTCTGTAGAAAGAATATCATTGCAGACCAAATCGCTGTAACCTAACATTCATAGCCATGAAGAAATGTCACTCAATAGTATTGCAAATAAGAATTCGACATGGAAGTTTGGGAATATGAACTTTGGCCTGCGCAAAAAATTTTCCTTGAGGACTTCTGTGGGAGGGAGAAACCCAAGTTCCGACAAATTTCTCGGTAACTCGCGGATATTCCCACCTCCAGGGCCATGAAACAAAATAACTCTTACCGTAAAATAAGGTATCAGTTCCGGCATCTTCAAATCCCTCTCCAGTTGATACTTTTTTTGGTATCTTTGGAGGATTTTTTTGGGTGACTTTTATCTCAAAAGTCAACTCAATTCAAATCAAGAATTTATAACTTGTAAGCATTCGTCCAACATTTTGATTTCTAAATTTCACTATAATTTTCACATTATACAGTACTTCGGTCTGCTTCAAGGACATAGAACTGGATTACACTAGGGTGTGAGATCACTGGCCACAGCCTGGCTGTTTTCCAGTGTCATTTCTGATGGTAGCTCCAATACATTCGTTTTTCAGTTCATATTTCTGACAAATACAGCGCAAAACTGAAGCCTCAACACAGGAAAATCACACACATAAATTCATAGCACTGATGAACACCAGCAAGTATCAAAAACCTAATGCAAGTTTGCCTACAATTTTAAAATTGCTGTTCATACGCAACGACAACAAAATCCCGATTTCAAAATCAGCAATTTCTACACGTTAAACTGCTCTTCGCGTACACTAATTGATCTTTCATACTCTTTATCGATGAAGTTACATTTATTTGCATCAACATAACAACAAAAACTTTAAAATGAATTAGAATAAAAACTCACCTTGACCGGATTTAATAGCAGTCCTAGTGACTCGTATCCAGAAACCGGACGTTATTGCATTGATGAAAGCTTCACAAGTCATCGGATCTTCCTCACTACTCACAATCGAATCGAATGAAACAAATCAGGAATAATTATGGAAAAGAATAGTTTACCTCAGTACAAACGAAGCTAGAGGAGCAGCCATGGAATTCATCCTTTTGTCAAGCAGTCGTTCCAGGCTGAACACCGGCAGACCGTAATCGACCCAAAACCGAACCAACTGCAAAACAAAACGCAAAAATTGATGTCAGCAATCAATTGACTCAGAAAACAAAAGCAATTCAACGAACGTTGATCAATCGTTTCATTCGGCTCTTCCAGCTGATGAAAAAAAAAGTGAAACAATTTCCGGAACTACCAGAAAATCGTCCAAGAACAAAAACTCTAATGTTTACCTTTGGGAAGCACGCAGAAAAGACAAATGAGAGTTGAACACAATATTTCAGTAGACTAAACCTTCACCTCAGTGACAGCATCTTCAGTCGACACCTTTCGATTGTTTTAAATACAAGATTTCAGATTTTCAGGAACGTACACCATCAATGAATACCATTCGCAGTAATGCATAACATATTCTGAAATTAGTCCAAAATTTCCATTAGAATCAAATAGAATGAACACCTGAACTTCTATAATCTTTTCGAAAAAATGTATACCTGCCTACGACGCGCACCCTCTTTTTCCCTCTCAATTTTGAGAAAAATGCGCGCGGGGTACTTGAGTGAATAGTTAAGGTTCACTTAAAAATACTAACAATAACGTACAGTATTTCATAGTATTGGAAAGTTACAGAAGTTCCTGCTTCTTACGCTTCTTTAGGAATTCAAGTGAACAAACCTTCAACAAAATAAAGTGGAATCGGAAATCATAATTTACCAAGAACTGAAATTGTTTTGAGCTAGAGGCAAAAAAAAAGTAGTTAAAAAACACTTTTCCAATGAGCAACCGAATTTTGTATCATACTTTTGTAAAGCTTATCCTGTCTGAGAAACGAGTCACACGTTGAAAAAAATATAACTGTACATTCATTATTTAAGGCAGCACCACCAAATTTTCTAAGTTAAAACCGATTTAAATTTTTTTTTACTCACAATAGAAGAAATCGTTCTCAGCTCCTCGAAGACAACGTTCTTGTCCGTTTTCTCTTCTGCTACAACCAAGTCAATGTATCTCTCCAACACCAACACAGCAGCCTCGCAAATCACCCTCGCAAACTCGGGATAATCGCCAAGCCGCGGATCACCGCCTCGACCCCCGTTCGCCTTGGACGCCGCCCAGAGTCGCAGCGTCTTCTCGTCCTGCGTCGCCCTGGCTTTGCAACCCATGCCGATCCGACCCAAGTGATCGTCAGACAAATCCGACTCCAATCGCAACAAAATCCGCAGCATGCCTTCTTCAGTTTTTAGCAGCTCCGTGTCTTTGCCCAGCAGCAAGCGCGTCGTGCGACGTCGAATCAACCTCCGTTCTTCCCGCGTCACGTGCAAATCCGGGTCCAAGTCTCTCGCCCTTAGATTCCACTTGATCTCGGCCTTCGACGACGACGGCACAACGTTTTGCAAGGCGAACAAACACGCAGGGCCCCAACAGCGGTTCGCCTCGCAAACCCTCGCAGCGAGACGCAAGTTGCCGAGTCGCAGGCACTGCACTAGCACGAGAAAGGCGTCGTAGCGTCCGATGCCAGAGTCGCAGATGTCGTCCAACTTTTTCTCGTCTACGTAGTGGTCCACGTGGCCGAACCAGGGTTTCCGTCGGGTCTCGTCGTCGTCGGTGTGACGCGGCACGATTTCCGGCAGCGGAAGTTGTTTCGGAGACGCGCAATAGGCGTCAACTGATCCCTGGCGAAGGAAGGCTACACGACCGCGATTGCTGCGCAGACTCAGCACGCGACAACCGCCGTCGTTACCGGCTTGCTTGCCGCCTCGGGACGTGGATCCGAACGCTGCGGCGTTTTCCGGCGGAATCTTGATGCCAAGCTGCAGAAAACAATTACCAGTTTAATGTTTATATCAGTTTATATCAGCTGATGAATATTTTCAAAAGTAATGTTTTTGAGAGGGATGATGCACAAATTTGAGACTGATGCAATTCGTGAAGAGATTTATTTTGAACCTGCATCAAAGCTTTTAGGCTCAAAGATACGTCGTCATAGCATACTGTCAAAACGATGTGAATAGAAAATCACGAACTCACTTGGCCGCAATCATTATTGCCTGCACTCCAAACGGCTCCAGTATGATCCACCATAAGTGAAAATTCCGAGCCTGCAGCAACAGCCATGACGGAAAACGGAACATCCGCCGGGGCAGGAATCGCAGGACTCGTCAAGTCTGACAATCCCAACTGCCCGTGCATATTTCGGCCCCAGCCGTACATAGTCCCGATATCGTCCACCAACAAACAATGATACAAACCCGCTGAAGCCTGAACCACGTTCCCTCGCACAGATGATAGATCCACTTCCGTGGGGTAAAAGTATTGAAAGATGATGCCTTGTTTCTTCTCGGCGTCACTCAAGGCGTTGGACACGGTTTGCGACGCAGTAGTAGACGAATGTGAATGATCGTCCGAAGGTTTCTTCGAGTCATTGAAAGTTACTGGCATTGTTGACTGTTGTTCCGCGTCTGAACCTGACGAATGCTGGTCAGATGATGAACCGCCGGCAAACGTTTCCAATGTCATTGACGGTGTCTAGAAACACAGCAAGAACAATAATACAGTGGGACACCGACGATCTGACTTAGGGATATGTAAAACTTGAAAAATATGCCCCAACATCCGGACAATTTATCAATATGAGGAGACTTTTCGAACATTCCTAGAAAAACGGACAAATTTTCTAAATTTTGATACTTCAACAAATTGAGCGTTTTATGTTCACGAAAATTGAGAATAAATTTCATTCAAAAAATTAACCTAATTAATTATCAAAACAGGCAAATTATGAGCTTCTCTCTTCAGAGTTGTTTCCATCATGTATGTCCAGTATAGCCAAACTTGTTCTTGCTTCTTGAGCTCCTTTTGATGCCAAAAGATCAGATTCTGTGTTTTTCTTTTGCACAGGTATTTTCTACAGTACTGTATATCGTTTAGTAGAGAGAAAAAAATGTACTTTATTTTTGGGGATGTACTTGAAATGTATCGCCACCGAAGTCTAAGGAAAAACGTGATTCGAGATACGGACGCCCCGACTTGAGGACAAGGTCCAAGCACCAATTACGTCCGCATCTCGAGGCCAACATTTATAAGGAAAGTAGTGTGCAATGATATTTTGTCCAATGAGCACGCGAATACAGTACAGTGAAGGTATGATGTATTTGATAAGACGGATATTATAAGAACTTCCGCGAAATGTTGTCGGAGAATACTGTACAGTAAAACGTATCAGTCGATTAAGGTACTGCCATATTTACTCCAGTTCCACGCGCCCTCGAGTAAAACATGCACCCCAAATTTGTCAGCCAAAAATTTTGATGAAAACCTACAACCAAGTAACCTCAATGTTAGTGACTCAAAAGTAAAAAACTCGAAAACTACAATACTATACTTCACATATAAGAGACACCAGAATTCAAATGCTTCGATTTTGAAAAGGTCCTATCAAAAGCTTCCCATCATATTCAAGTATGACGCGCATTTAAACTTCCAACCAATTTCGAAAACTTTATCCCGCACACAACGCGTACCTTTTTCCCCCCTCTCAATTTTCAGAAAAAAAGTACTCGTGGTACTCAAGTAAATATGTTACTGTATCATGAATTTCACCAACCTTTCGAATGATTGCACTGAATTTCCTCTTGGTCATTTTAGACAAAGTTTCTTGTCGACTCAGCCGAGCAGCACCACCGCTACTGCCACCTTCCACAGGGTTGGCGGGCGTTTCATACGTCGACGATGAGGCCGACTGAGGAACACCTACAAAGGTAGGCTTGGGAGCAGCTGCTTGTTGTGCTAGATTTCGTCGCACGCCGAGCAAAGCAGATAATTTCGGCTTGTGCTGATTCAACTCCCAGCGCATCGCATGCGGACTGATGCCCCAACGAAACACTCTGCCTCTACGAGTGACGGCGACCTGGAAGAAAAGAAACGTTTAGTTCACTTAAATTTTGAGCGAGAGGAATGAGGAGGGGAAGAAGTAAGAAATAAAAATGTCGGGTAACGTTAGTCAGGAGAAAGAAATTATCATGAACTTCATACATGAAGTAATCAACAGTACTGTAGGATTAAATCCTTCAATCATTTTAATCTTAAATTTCCAATTTTAGAACTTTCAAATTGAGTCTCAACATAACGAAGAGTCCGCACAACGAAATTTTTAAAGGGAAAAAGGGACTCACGGAACGATAATATCCTACGTAACGATATTTTCCAACCAAAACCGCTTACATTTCAAGAAGTTTTGGGATACAACTTAGGAATTCAAAAAATTGAGGAAAATACAAAAGAAAGGCATAGTTTCGTTTATTCGCGTCTATAACATTTTTCAAATTCAGAAAGTTCAAATCACAAACTTGCCAATGTTACTGAAGCTCAAAACTAAATTCGAAATTAAAAATTTCACTCCGAAAACTAGAAATAGTTGTTGAGTTGTAAGGTCTTTTGGTGACGTATGGAGCGAATTAAATTGATAATGTATCCTCAGGGCATTGAATAGGAAAACAATTTAACTGATCAGGTAATGAAAATACAAGCTCTTTCCTCGTATCCATAAGACTCTTCTACATCATTCAAATACACTTCGAATCCACTGTGGTTCGTTGAGATTACAAATTATCACCACCGAAAAACCCCAACAGTCAGAAATGGAAATACAGATAAATGTATTTCGAACAATAACAAGATGATAAAAATCACACAAACAGTCAACAATTTCAGAATGTTCAACAAGAACAAAAATCGAAAAAGCACAAGAACCCTGGAGTGACTCACGTTGAAAAAATAGGATGTGTCGACGTCGACGATTCTGTCGCTGCAGCTCACGTACATTGACTGCGCTTCATCGCCGCAGCTTGACGACGGTGTCGGTGCTGGTGCAGAGAAACTCGTCAGCTCCTCCGGAAACGGAACGACGACCGGTACCAACATTTTCTTCACGTTCAACGTTCCGACTTGTCCGAAACTGCCGTTTCCACAAGCCAGAACAACTGCGCACGGGTGTTCGTCAAGTGGACCGTGAAAATAAACACTCGACGGCGGACGCGATGAAGACGCTGAGCCCGACATTGACGAAGATGAGGTCATCGTCGACGGCACATGGCAAAGGAAGATCGAGTGGCCCTGTCCACCGCACGCTTTCTTCACGAACTGTTTCATCAAGTGAAGAAAAATATTCATCATTACCTATGCCTGAAAAAACGGAAAACTGTCGATGAAGAAGCTCAGTAGCCCAAGCGTTGCGCAGAAATATTCTCCTTTTAACGCTCCTCGTTTGATCACTCTGAATTTTCTTTCTATAACTTTACAAGGGGTCTAACAAAAGTTACAGGGATAGAAATTGAAACGGCACATGATCGAGCTGAAAAACAGTTATTCTTCAGTAAAAAGATTCTTTGGCTCGAGAAAAAAAAAATGCAGCCCTGTTTGACATATTTTTTCTAAATTTTCTGGAAAAGCCACCTGGGCAACTTTCTGCTCCTCACTCAGAAGATGATGCGCTCATCTCGCAGATTTTTGGGTGTACCCCAGCTTTTTCTTCCGAATTATTGAAATTGACAGGGCATTAATGTCAAGGGTTGCCTTGAGGTCTTCCAAGATAAATACGCAATTTTCATCAACAGCCGACACATTCTCATCCCAAGTAACGGCTGTGAAGGCGGCTGTTGATGAAAATGGCGGAATTAATAATCAATTAATGGCGGCATCGCCTGGAATTAATTCCATGTCAATTTGAAGAATTCTGAAGGAGAAGCTGGGCTGCACCAACAGAAAAAAATTGCCAAATGGACGCCTCATTTTTGATTGAAGACTGAAGAGCAGAAAGCTGCCAGGGTGACTTGTTGAAGATTTTCTGAAAAATATGTCAAACAGGGCTGAATTTCTTTTCTTCAAAAAAAAAAAGAATGTTTCTTCTTAACAATACTGTAGTTGTTCTTCAGCATAATCGTACGCCATTTCAATTTATATTCTGAAAACATTTGTTAGGCGCCTCGTAAATGCGTTAAATTCTCGTCAATTACGGTATTTATTGGAATTATACTCATCACCAAACGTTACGTCGGTTTTGTGTTGGTTAAGAACTAGATCAGCTGAAATTCGTCGGGATAATATAATTTGCGGGAGGACCAGCCGTTCAGGAGATATCTGCCCAAAATTTCAAATACTGTCAACGCCTGGTCCACGAATTTTCATAATTCTTGCGTAATCTTATAAAACTCAACCTGGACAAAGCAAACGCTTGAATTTCAATGTTTCATGAAAAAGCAGGAAAAGAATCCTTCAAAAGATTAGAAATGATCTCTTCTTGAATACGAAAAAGACTGAACTCACCAGACCAGATTGAGCTAGAGCTTGAATTAATGCTGGTGTGTGGAGGTTTTCAACGCTGCCTTGTCCCAATTGTCCGTGAGCTCCCCAGCCAAAACTGAAAACTCTTAAAACATAAGAATTGGTCAGAAAAACGTACACTCTTCCGCAGTTTCTCGGAATACTACCGCACAAGATTACAAAATTAAAGATTTTCACAAAAGGTGGCTCACTTTCCATCCCTGGTCAATGCCAATGAGTGATACTGGCCAGCGGATAAACTGCTCACTTGGAAAGGAATGAGTTTTTCAACCAAAACAGGGTCCGCAGTTCGCAAAACATTCGGCCCGAGACCTAGTTGACCGAGCGAGCCATCACCCCAGCTGAAAACCTAAAAAAATTATACCACATAAAATGCATTTCCTTCCGTTACGAAATGAAAATTCAAATAACAGAAGTTGCCTGAACGTCAAAAAGGAAAAATGACGTCCAAAATTCACTCACACCAACAGAAGTGAGGGCTAAGGTATGTTTTCTACCACAGGAGACAGCCGTAACTTTCAAATTCAACTTCGTGAACAGAGGGACCGGAGCTGGTAAGCACGGCTGGGAATCATATCTGTTCAGTCCTGGAAGACAACAAAGAAATTCGACGTCAACATAATTTGCGGGGCTTTATAATAATTTTTAATTCAAATTGCTCCTCTGTGTTACACGTTACAAACGCTTGGATATTCGTGGATTAGGTTATTAAAAAAATCCATGAAAATTGGCATGAAAAAATTACACGAATATGAACTTGTCGCATTTCTGCAGTCAATTAAAGAGGAGGTCAACTTCCTTTTCTTTTCGCAAGTCGCGAAATGGTCAAATTACTGTATGAGATTCAGAAGTGTGATGCGACGGCCTTTGAATGACCCAGAAGGCCGCATCTCTAACAAGCGCATACTGTATCGAAAAGAGCGAAGAGAACAGTTGTACTGTACTACAGGTAATAAACGATGGCACGACACCAGAAAATTACCGGGGATTGAAAATGTGTCATACATTATAAATTTTATAATTATCAAAATACTTCGCCTTTGGGACATTTGAAAAATCTGCCCCAACATCTGGGCACTGCCTTCAGATACGGTCAATGCTCCTTAAAATTTCGAAACTTGTGAAAAAATCGAGCTATTTCCGTGAAAAAAAAAGCAAAACATACCTTCTTTCAAATTTACTCTAATTTATGCTCGAAAACATGCTAATTTTGCGCCTCTCTTTTCAAGGTTCCATCACCTGTGTAAAGGGTAGGAAGATGGGCTCGTTTTTTGCTCTCTGGACTACTTTTCATGCCAAAAGGGTAGATTCTGCGTGGTTTTTATTTGCACAAATATTGTCGAAATATTAAGTGAATCACGATTTTAATTCAATTTTTGGAAAAATACTTCAAAATTTTTTGGCAAAAAATTAGACGTGATTTAAAATATTCCAATTGAAGTCTGCTGGAAAACACGATCGGAAACGCAGGCGTTCCGATACATGAACAAGGTCCAAGAACCAATCACGTCCGCATCTTTGAGCCCCATTGTATTTTGGTCATGAAATGTATTCATAAGAATACAGTATTTTGATCAGCAAGGCTTCAGAGGTAACTAAGCCAATCTAATCCAATCGCAGTATATACAATACGTAGTACAGTACAGGTACATGCCCAGAACAAGTTTCGTACTTTTTCTTTTTCTTTACGGTAGCAACTGTTTGAGTACGGATTCAGTTTTGCAACTTGCATTTAATAGGGACGCATTCAAGCGCTCGGTAACGCATGACCCTGGGTCTGAGCTCTACTCCATAAAAAGTTTAAATGAGGAAGGGTTTGTTAAGCCCCACAACTCTAGATTTCACGCATAAATAAGCTAACTCACCAATAAAACCATCCAGGTTAGACCCCCAAACTCGGACTTTGTTGTCCCCGTTCGTCACAGCAGCATGCGAGTGGCCGGCAGACAATTGTCTACGAAACGCTTCTCTAACTCTGTCATCACTCATTACGGCTCTCCGCCGCCTCATTTCATCTCTCACATCCTCTTTGTCAAGTTCCTTTTCTTCCGCATTGTCTTCATCCGAAGAATCACTCGACGATTCGAGCAAGGAATTCGCCGACATGGACAACCGTCGACGGAAATTGATTCTCGCAACGGCGATGGACTGCCGTCGTTTGGCATCGCTGATCGGCTTATTCCGCAAATTCCTCACACCGAAGAGACAATTGACCACGTCGTCTTCGTCATCGTCAGGCACAAAGTAAAGGTCTTGATCATCGTCCTCGTCATCATCGTCGTCGTCTTCACTTCGTCTTATGCTCGTTTGTCGGTATCGATAGGAAGGATTGCACAGTGCTTGGCGACTCAAAAGCGCCAACAAAAAGTTCTCGACTATTTCTGCCCCGTGCGGCAGCTTCTTTTTCATCCCTGCCTCTTCATCCGGCCTCCACACGTAATACTCTCTCAATGGGCAACTCTGAGAAGGCAACCGAGGCACCACACCGATTCTCAATTTTAGCCTTCGATAAAAACGTCGCTCCATTTTCTGTTTGTTTTCGCATTGCAGCCACAACGCTCGGTAGTACATGCGAGTAGGATCGAATAATTCGCAGAAATCGAGGAGGATGTCGGGATCGAAAAGACCCCCAGAGGCCAAGGACTGACGAAACCAGCGGGAATGCACTCGGCGCCACTTAGCGGAAAATGCCAGCACGTGACCGAGTGCCATTGACGGTAGAACTCGACGGAAGTCGCCTGAAACCGATAGGAAATTATTTTTAAGATGTGCCAAATAGGCGTTATCACGACACCATCGCCACAGATGGATATTTGAACAGGTTGTGCTATTCGCTTCAAAGCCTCCATCAAACCTCGACATCATTAAGCATAAACGAAACTTTGGAAAAATTAACTGGCGACCCAGCGTATACTTTACCTCTTAAAGTCTAATTTCGACATACCGCAACAATTCGACTTAGAGAGGCTTCGAGTTAAATGAATACCATTCTTGTCTTGAAAAAATGGGATCACGAAAAGTTGAAATTGATGATCTTTTTGGCACAAAACTGCCTTCGAAAGAAGTTGACAGGATGCTGACCTTGGAGGCAAAGGCTCATTTGCTCAACTATTCTTTCACTGCCTTTCAATAAGCATCTTCACATTTCGCTGCTTTTCTCTTTCCTGGATCAAATACTGTACAGTACTGTAAAAGACAAAAAGCCTCCGGAAAATTCGAGTCGAAGAGGTTTTCAGGGGAACGCCCTAGAGTTAGGCGGGTTATTTTTAAACATTGTTTCCACGGGTATTTAGACAGGGACTTGAAAATTCGACACACGGACATTATTGAGGTTCAACTGTACTGATCCGAAAGCGGCCAAATTCGGGCGTTGCAATGGGAAAAACCTAAATATTTCTCCGATGTTACTCCTAAAATTTTGTACACTCCACTAACATCGACGAAAATGCATGTCTTCAATGTATCAAATCTATACAATCATTTTTTACGAAGTATCTAAAGACATCAATCACTGACGATGCTTTTCAACTCCAGAAAAAATCATATCAGTGGGTCTCATCAAATTCGCTCACTTGTATCGGACCCGCGGAAAGGCTTCTCAGTCAATTCAATTCCTTTGTACCCAGAGAACTCGAGAAAGTAACTCCCGAGACCATGAATCGCAGAATATTCAGCAGCAAAGCTCCACATGCGGGCTTCGATGAGGCCTCTCAGCAATACAATTGCCCATTCCGTCTTCGGGTCCCAGAAACATTTTCTACAGAGAAAAAAAAATCAGAACAGGTATTCTGAGGTCGTCCTTGCTGAGGCTGCAAACTTGAAGTTTCATCTTCATTACTTCTTGGAAATTGATCTTGCCTAATTACGGTTGCGGGCAATTTTATTTTCTATAATTTCAAGATTTTCAACGACCGGATTCACACGACTTTTAAAATGCGGTGTCCCCCATTACACGATAGAATTTCTCTACAACGAAATTCAAGGGAAAAAAACTCGTTATAATTTATAAAGAGAATTTTCTTGCAGAGAACCGTGTCGGATCACAAATACATCGTTATAGTGAGAAAATCGTTTTAGACAAGATCGTTGTAGAGAGAGTCCACCTGTATTTGAAAAAATCGTAACGACGGAATAAAACATCAGCAAGTCGCACCATAACAAATCAGATTCTCGACACATTTAAACGCATGAATGACCACGGATGCAAACTCACCTGAGCTGCGAAAGCAGCAGTTTGGCACGATCAGATTCCTTCGCCGACATCAAGTATTGGTGAATTCGGCACAAGTGTTGGAGTGACAGCATTTGTTTCGAGTGAGAAGCGGGATGAATTTTTGCGGGTTGACCGATTTCACCCAACTCAATGGACAAATACGTCATCGCACCCATGATGCACTTCTTCATCAGCAGAACCCGCACATCTTCTAAACTTGTCGCCTGCGTAAAGAAAAATCAATATCCTACGTCAAATTCGTTCTTTTCCGTTCGTCCGCGAAAAATCGTTTGTATTTCCTTCGAAAAATGGAAACGCGAAAAAGAACTTCATAAAATGCTTAGTTCAAAATCGGTGACTTCTAGCGGAACCGACAGATCAGGGCAGATATATTTTGCTGGAACTGAGCCCAGTTCATTTCCTATTAAGTATTCCGGACTCAAACCCCGAGACTTTTGTACACAAAGAATGTCGATGTCCGGCCTTCGCGAACAAAACAGAAACAAAACGCACAGAACGTTAACCCAGTGCACAACATTAGTAACCTTGGCAACAGGTTTGCAACTTGCAAGTTCCAACTGGTTATAACCATCGGTGGGCCTCTGTAACCCAGAAGTGCTTTCATCAGCTTCGGGTGATTTGAGTGAATCAAAAGCAAGGTAGATTATCGATGCACAATAAATTATTGACAAAATTAAATTAGTCGTCCGAATTTTAGCACTTTCCGTGGAGCCTTTCAAACCCTGATTCTTCGTTCTATCCACCGAAAAAAAATATGCATAGAAGTCTTTCTATGCATTTATGTCAAGTCAAATAATTGAGCTTTTCAAAGATATGAATGAACAAGCAGAAACCGGACATAGCTTCGGATCTTCTCTTAACAGTGGTACCTCGTATAAAAATGTTTAAAACTTTGATCAAAAATAACACAAAAAACATGCGTTGGGATCACAGATTACTCCGAACAAAAAATAAACGATGGATTTTTCGAAAACTTCCATGGATTCTGAATCGTATCCCACTCGTATGTTTTTAAACACTACTGTTTTCGTAAATTCCTTTGTCCGCCTGCAAAGATAATTTATAAAACATGTTCTGTACAGTGAAGATTAACAATCTGCCAGACGTAGGGACGAAAGTTCATTAAAACTTATATTCAACAAAAACATGATTTGTTTCTGAAAGGGATCACTGTAAAAATTATGCGACGCATTATCGTACCATACAGATGATTCTATGGGATAAATTAGGATGCAGCCATAGAGCCTCAAAAATGAATATGTGAAGAAGGCTGGAGCCCCCGGGGCGAAACTCAGAGCAGGAAATTTTGCCAGGAGCAAGAGAAAACATACTTTTTCTCCTCTTCCAAGTCCCTGAATATTTTAGGAATTCTAGACATTGCCGATACAAAATGGCCTGATTCTGCTGCTACATGCTGTTCTTATTAAATTTTTTAAAAACCACTCACCAAAGCGCCACGCAGCATGAAGATGGCAGATTGCAAATCATGATGAGACAAGAACAGATCCATGGCAGCATGAAAAACACGAGCAACTCCCCCGGCGACATCGAGACTGTTGGCAAAGGCAGCAGATATCGCTCTAGCATCTTCCACAGCTCTCGTCGAAGGCTTCTTGCACACGAGATTCTTCAGGATGATTCTCTCCAGCGGAAAGGGGACAAACAACAACACGACACTTCGATTCGTCACGACCAAACACCAGTCTAGCCAAGTTTCACTCGCTTCAGACCCCAAAACGGGGTCCAATTTACACTTCATCCACGAATCTTCTTCAACACCTTCGTACGCGTCGTCATCTTCACTCACACCCGCCAAAGCCTGGGCACTGATGCCATAGAGACGAAGCACGATCTCACCACGTTTCGCGCACGAGAACGACTGGAGTCCGGGGTCCACGAAGTCATTTTCAGCCTTTTCCTCGATCGTCGGTTTTCTCTTGAATATTTTTGTCACCGTCACTCCTGAAGAGGACTTTTCCAGGTCCGTCACAACCTCCGGCAATGGGACGGATTCCTGAATATTGGCAGGGAATCTTCCGTTCAGATATGCGACGCTGTTCGATCTTCCAGATTTGTTGAACCATTTCAACCCAGCCTAAGAGAAGGAAGAACAATTCAAGTACACAATAAAAACGAGTCCACTAAATGTTCCAAAAAAGTGGACGATTTTCTCAAAAGCATCTATGTAGTATTTTAAGGAAAAAAGTTGCATTTCACATTCGACATTTGTAGGGATTCAAGACACGTCTTTTGACTTGGAATCCTCGATAAAAACGTTATAAGAATACTCTTGACATATGATTAAATATTTACGTCTTCAAAGCGTTCACTTCAATCGCATTAAATTCCCAACATGAACCCTTCAAGATTCAGTTCAACTCATGTCGAACTTTCACGTGAAAATTTCTGCGGGTAAATTTTTGCATGATGGGAAACTATAACCTTTATAAAAATTCAATGCAGTTTTTCCAACATCGAATTGAAAACTACGTCATTCCGAGAGGCAATACAACTCTCAAACACAGGCAAAACTTTCATCTGGCCTCACTGAGCAAGACAACGCAACTTTTCCAACATCGACATGCAGACTATGGCATTTTGAGAAACATCAACACTTCAAAATATTCAAGTTATCGAAGGGTACACTTCAATCGAACAATTTCTGCGGGGACATTTTTGCATGCTTGTAATTAAACCTCACTAAGCAATACCATGCACTTTTCAAAAGATCGAATTGAAGACTACGTCAATCCGAGAAGAATTGAATCTCTCGAACACAGCAAACAATTTTATATGACCTCACTGAGCAATACAACACACTTCTTCCAACATCGAGTTGGAGACTAGGTTATTTCGAGAAATGATAAAACTTTCGAACAAGCGCAAGACTTCCATATGACCATCACTGAGCAATATGACGAACTTATTCCAACATAGAATTGAAGGATAGGTCATTTCGAAAAACGATAAAACTGTTCAACACAAGCAAGACTTTTTTCTCACCTTTTGCCCGCCTTTGTTGAATTTTCCGCCACTTCCTTGAGCGATACCCGTCGGCACATCTTCGCCTGGACCTTTGGACAAGTAGCACGAGTGTATAGTCAGCTGCGGACTGACGACACTCAGAGCAGACGAAGAAAGCAACGCAGATGAAGACAAAGGTGGAAATAGAGAAGACGCTGCTGCAACTGCTCCCTTACTGACCCCGGGACTCGATTCCAAGTCCGGACGCGGGGTCACCCGGAAGATGACCGTCGGAGTTAGAAGCGTCTTCTCTGGGTCCAGATTTGAAATTTTGTAGGTTGCTGAAGTCGTCGTCAGACACTTGTCCGGGTCTACGGCCTGGAATGGGACATTGGAATGGTTCACAACTCAGAAGAAAAGCTTCTTGAATCATAAATGAAAAAATAAAAAGGGAAAAAATAAACAAATAAAAACGCCGCTGCTTGCGTGCATCATCACACTCCTACGGATTTTCAGCTCGAGTAATCACGTCATCTTCGTATTTATCTACACGTGACATTGAACTGCTGGCATATTCTCAGGAACGATCCCGTTTCGTAGAGAAATCAACATTTCAAGTCGTAAACTTGAATAACTAATATTGTTCAGGGATTCCGATGTTGAGATAAAATTCTCCCACGTGCGCAAAAGTTGTGTAAATGTCAAGCCTTGATAAGTTCGTTCGGAAATTTGAACAGGAAAAGGCAGCTTTACCACGAAGTCCAACTTCGAATACAGAATACTGTATTTAGTTATAAAACCCGCTTTCAACTTCAACAGAACATTTGTTGAAAATAGCCAAATTCTTGAAAACAGAAGGACGCATTTTATAAGTTCAAGACTCGCAGGATTTAGAATTTCCCTTTCTTAGAAGAAAATAAATCAAAAGATTTAATTTGAATTCAATTAAGGGCGTTCCTTAGGAGATTAATTTTGAAGTTCTGCCAAATACCTCAACAGCATTCGAAAAACCAATGAAAATGCTCACTCTTAATTCGGAGAAGACGGCAGAGTAACGGACAAGGAATTTTCGGTCACTTCCAATAGACTTCACATTATAGTGACCGTGATCCAAATCATCCCCCAAATTAATTGGTTCCAAAGATTGAGGCATGTAGCCTGATTTCCAGCCTTCATCCAAGGATGCATTAATGAACGGATTCCCGCCGTCAATGCCAACGTCATCGTCATCCACTGTAAAAGCAAAGAATACAACGAATTAATAAAGAAAAAACCAGTGCAACATTACAGGACATTTGTCAAGGCTTCGCAAAACTCGCAAAGGCTTCTCTCAAATAGGGTCAACAGAAATGAAACTGGGAAATCTGAATATTTACGGTACAGTATTTCCAATAAAAACTGCAAGGATCAGAAAACAAAGGTTTCTCAATCCATATAACTTGACTTGCTGAACAAAGTTTGAAACTCTCAAACATAATTTTTGAACCATCGTGCAAAACGGAGTCTAACAACATACCGCAGTCCAAACGACGTTTATTTATCAATTAAAATATAGAAACATGCCACGGAATCATTCCAGAAATGCATCCAACCTGATCCAAATCCCAGGAACGACTTGGAACGTCCGGCGTTCAAGGGATTCCAGTCAGCTACGCGTTGCTTTATTCCAACAAGTTTCTCAGTTGAAAATTGGCGCCAACCAGCAAGAGACGCTCGAGGCGCAGTGCCATAAACTTGCGAACCATCTCCACCAAATTGGGTATTTCGACGCCCAGTGCTGGATATTGAAACACCACGTTTTATCCTGGTCACATCGACTTGCTTCACTGTGTCAAAAAGAAATATACAAATTTAATGCATATATACAGTATATTTAAACGCCTTAAAGTCGTGCTTAAGAAATATTCCTATTTTTTGGGAATTCGGTTCTTGCACACGCTTGAATATGAACTTATTTGCAATTACCCGGATTCTCGGCGATTGCTTCGAAAGGTTGGTAGGATTTTTGAGTTGGCCAGAGACGCTTGGTTTTCGTCTCGACTGGCAAAAACCATTGCGACCCTTGAGATCCAGTTATCTATTGGAATCAAATAGAATGTCAATTTTCATTAACTCACTAATTGCCCTTAAAAACTTCAGAAGTGAGCAATTTTCGGCTGCAGAAGATTTCCTCAGGAATGGAAAACCTCTCGCGCTTAACCGTCTTTGTATTAAGAGGATTTCAAGCCATTCGACAAGAACAGTTCACGCCGCAATAGGCTTTCTCACCAACAAGAGACGACGTCCACAGCTGCCGCTCCAGAAGAGATCTAAATTCTCCACCGGTTCAGGAATGGCAACACTAGCAACAGCTTTTCCCAACCGCAAATCTACAACCACTAACCCAGCAGTCCATGTACCGATAATGATCAAATTCTGCCCATCTACTGTTTCCCACCACACCATTTTTGTGATTGCTTTTGAACCGCATTGCTCTGGGTTCAGATCAATCTCCAGGTGCGGAGGAAGGAATCCTGGACCAGCAGAGCCTACGACATCATCCTTTGTTCGCATCAATACGAGACTTCCCGCAGAACCTACACAAGAAGCAATTGAAGACAATCTGTGCGTGAAAAATATGAAAAATTCGAAAAACATTTATCTCAGTACAGTACTACGTCAATAACGATGCTCTCACTTTTACAGCATCAAGAAATGCTCGACACATCGCCAGTGCAAGGGTTCAACTAACCTAACGTTGCATCCAAATAATACCAAATTACTCCAGTATATTTTACTACTGCACCACACACCCTCCAGCAAGACGTGTTTCTCAGTATAAAATGTGGATTACATGTATTTCCGTGTAAGACGAGCGCCCCATATTCAGCGACTCTAAAGCTACATTTCCAAAATAAAACCCAAATTTGGATTTAGGCTATAATTTAATCTGAATTCAAATAAGTTTGAATTGTTTCCAAATAAATAAGTTTCTCTGGTAAAACTGGTCCAAAATTTCCTATTAGAATGAAGTACAGTTTTTCGCAAACCACACCCAAACTTCCAAAACTTTTCGAAAAAATTATAAATCTATATCCACCTATGACGCACACCACCTTTCTTTCCTCTCAATTTCGGTAGAAAAAAATCTGTGCGCGTGGTACTCAATTAAATGCGGTAACTTACAATTTATCAAACTTAGCACATGATTCACTTTATCTTATATTTTGAGACACGAGCCCTTCGTCAAATCTGATCTTACGAAGTCACAGAAAGTACTTTAAGCTTCGATATGGATTTAATAAAAATGCACAAGCACAGCGGGGGAAGCTTCAACACGGAAGAACCCGTATCATTACTGCACTTTTCTCTCGAATTTGAAACTATGTCATCTTTGAATCCCTCACAATTGAGAAAAATATCAGAGGAAATGAAAAAAATTGGCGAAGTTCTCACTGGCAATAATCAGGCGAAGACCGCGCGGATGAAACGCAAGAGCAACAACGCTTGGCCCGTTCCAGTGATGCCATGGAGCACACATCACGTCGTGCTTCCCGGGACCGCCGATTTCCACCTTCGAATGCATCACAATCAACGTCCGCGACCTGCAAATAAAAACGCCAAATTAACACCGGAAGCACTGAATAGTATGCCAGTAATGCTTACGTTGTATATAAAGCAAGGCCCCATTTTTCCTCGTATTGGTAGAAATCTGATTGGAGAATTTGACCGTTTACCACGGATAAACAAGTGGAGGCTGAGAACACGGCCGCCATGAGGCCTTGAACAAGCCAAAATAACTAACAGAGGAAATCATTTGGTAACCTGAAAAATACCAAGACGTCTCAAGAACATGATTCAAAAAATATCATTCGACAAAATGTAAAGCCAAAAACACGCTGAGACTCAATTTCCATCCACTCCTTCGAAATCAAACCGAAGCAGCTCAATAACTTAAACTGAAGTCACTATTCAATATGAATAAGTTTTGCAATGCCAAATCGGAGTCAATGTTAAAATGATCAATGAAAATGACCAACTCGAAAGCACTAGTCAAGATTCAGGAATCCGGCAAATCGCCTATCTTCCCCAAAATATTCCAGGATTGCTCCCATTGGCGTCGGCTGGCTCAATCCAAGCTCTTCTAGCTTGTTCGTCAACTTGTTTTTCGTATTCCTCATCCTGGTCATTGCGTGCAGAAATATAACTGCGAACGGGAACGGAACACGATCATAGTGAGAAATGAACAACGTACATGATAAGAACTTACGCAACACTGGCAACAGGAACGCAAAACCGAAGGCAAATATGCATCCGGCAAGCCTTGCAACAAAGAATACGATTGCACTGACCATGAGGATGGTCACAATCGGATGGTCTCTCCGGAATTTCTGAAAATTTGCGTTCGTCGAGAAGTACCATGAGAGAGACAAGATGACTGCGAACGTTATCATCCCGAGAGAAACTTCTCTTGGTTTTGAGAAGAACGAAAGTGTGAATATTAGAAGAAACGAGAGGAAATAATTTGTTTGGTAGTACAAGAGGTTCGCAATAATTCGCGCATTCGCACGACGGATATCCTTGAAATTTGGCAAACTGAATCGCGAAGCTTCAGCCAAGAAGTCGTTGAAACTTCTCATTGGAGCTAGTCTCATGGGTTCGTCCGGCGAGTATCCCATTTTGATTGCCTGAAAGCAGATTAAAACGAATCAATGCAATTAAGCCGCACAATAATCGCATTCCACACGAGTTTCTTCAGTTAAAAATCCTGAACGGCATCCATCGGCCTTCGACGCACGATAGAAGCCACAATTCCACGGGGTACAAAGAAAGTAAGAGTTGCCTCAAACCGTAATCCGCGGAAGTCACGAGCCATGAGACTTAGTCGAGCGGCATCGAACAGTGTTCAACGGGATTACACATGAATTTCCGTGCAACGGTCTTAGCCACTACACTGAGTCGAGTCAATCACTCATCAATTTTCGCGCAACGCTACATTTTGGAACTAGTAACATCGTCGAATTCTTTCTCAGGACCCGTTGTCATCCTGGTGCATTTACAAATTTGAGGAATGAACGTCACTCGAGGGACCGGAAACGGCAAGCAAATCGTAGGATATTAACGGTAGCTGCCTCCATCTATCGGGAAACCATCCTTAAACTCGCGCCTGATCCAATGGTGGCTTTGACTTGCTGGAGTAATTTCCTGTACATTACTTATATTGGTCGTATGATACTGTTTAAATGCGCGTCACATTGATTTTTTTTCAATTAGTGCATGTTTAAAAAATTTAGTCTTATGTTAGTGTACACAGCTTTTTGGAAAGCTGATATTAAAATGGGAAGGTTCTTGCAGGAAAAAAAAGACCTGGAGCAGGAATAATAATATATTGTAGCATCAGAATGAATAATTCCACCAACTTTTCAGCAAAGATGAAGGATGACTGCTGCAGCAATATACTGTATATCCGCAGTGAGATCCCAATAGATGTGGACATAATTGGTGATTATGTCACCATTCAAGAGTGTCCCTAAGTTTAGTCTTGTTTTCCCATAGACTTACATTCTATGATTTTTAGTTGGTGTTTTATGAGAGAAATATCTTCCAAATTCCCTGAAAAAAATCAGTGAATTTTCAACTCAAGAAGAACATTTGGAGCATTGAATAGTGCATCTCTGCACTGTACATTGAAATGTTGGCATCTACAAAAATAACATTCAAGTGAAAAAAGTTTAAGTCCCTCTATGTTCTAGGTAATTTTTTAAAATTAGCTAAATGAATGGTAAATTGGTGAGAGAAATGCCCAAGAAATTTTCTCACATCAATTTTAGGCTTAGAAATATCTGTTTCTTGTAATTTGGCTTGAAATGTATTTGCAATTTTTTCACAAAATGTCCGTATGTCAAGTCGTCAGTGCCCTCATGTTGTGCCTTTTTTATTAATGTTTTCTGGTGAAATAAGTATCCCTATATGTTGAATTGTCAGCAGGTTGAGGTGTCTGCATGTGGAAATCTCACTGAATACACATCAGGTGATCTGTATAAAAGTTCATTGTACAATAAGAGTAAGATTCCAGGGGTGCAGAATAAAATAGCAGTAGAGAAAATGATTGTGGAGAACCCCATATAACATTGAGAGAGAACCCAATCAATATGTATAGGACCAAAAGAAAATTTGTTCTGTGGAGAAAATCAGATGGACAAGATTGCTGTGACAAAAGGGTCCATCTGTGTCGGGTTAAAGGGTGGCGTCCCCACCAATGAAGGAAGTTAAAAGAAAGATTCAAGTGTCAAAAAAGAAAGGGTACACAAAATCAGCCGTTATTCGGCTGGGTACCTCTTAATGAGGGCCCTTCAAAAAGTGGGATTTTAATTCAGGATAAACAACAGGGCAGAAGCACACGCAGGCGTATCAACCTAATCAATCAGTAATTCCTGACACAAGTCAAACTTGCAAGTCAATTAACACAAAAACGCGAAACCGCAAAACAGGTCCTAACTTGTTCACTGCACCAGACTGAATGGCTCCTCAAGATGGACGACAACGTCCAAGTTGGAGCCCAAGCTCCGACTTGCTTCTCCCTCTCCCTCTCTTGCCATGCGCATGCGGGCGGGGTATGACACCGCTACCTTTGGCCGGGCAGCGGCATCTGTAGCCCGACAAAATCCCCCCCCTTCAGCTGACCTCTGCCGATCAGTGGAGGTTGGCTGAAGGTGCCCCAAAAAAGGGCTACACAGATGTTGCTGCGCTGGGTTCTGCTAGGATGTCGTGGGTCGAGTGCGTTTGTCTGTCCGCGCAGGCGTCATGGCCGCCACCAGGCCATTGCCTCCAGGGCCAAATCTGGAGGGAATCAGAGAAAGAGCAGAGTTAGCAAAGTTCGATAAAGTGAAGTGAGTGACAGTCTAACTGTTCAAAGTTCGTGTCAAATGTCGTGCAAAAAAGGTGTCATTCTTCACACCCATGTTGGGTGCCTGACTACTTCACACCCACGTCAGGTGCCTAACGTACTTTGCTTAAAGTCCTCGACGGACCCCACTCGGATGCGGTGCACATCCCTTGATGGGAAGCCTTGCCCGATGTGGCAGCGTGCCCTCGTCAGGGGAGCATGCCCGGGCCTTACAGGTGCAACGACGGCAGGCCACGTGCAACGTCACAACATTACTGGCCAGTGACTGGCCACAAGGCCCAGACTTTTTACTTGGTACTGGCCCAACGGCCAGAGTTTTTGCTCCGTTACGTTGCGGATTTTCGACCGCGGAACTGCTTTGCGGATGTCGTCAATTGTCTGAGGTGTTCCCACTGTAGTTTGTCTGAGGTGTTCCCGCTGTAGTTTGTCTCAGGTGTTCCCCGTCACAGGTGATCGGAAGTGTTCCCCGGCGGCGTTCTTTTTGGCGACATTGTTTCTGGCAGTGTCTCTCCTTGGCGCACTGTTCGGCAGAGATTGTTGGTAGCGTTTTCTGTGGCGGCGATCGGTGGAGGCATTCTCAGCGGCGGTGATCTTCCTCGGCGTATTTTGTGGCGGCGATTGGCGGAGGCATTCTCAGCAGCGGTGATCTGCGAGCTCTGTGTTCCCCTGGCGTTTTTCGGCTGACCAACAGTTTTTGTGCTTCCTCAGGAATCTTGCTCCTAAAAATAAAAACGAGTAACAATAAACGATTCGCGTTTCAACAAAGGGGCCTGCGTACAGAAAAAAAGTGCAAACTTAGTGCATACAACAAATCGACAATTTTGTGACCAAACAGAAGATTTTGTTCCTGAGGGATGGAAGAAAAACAGCCAGAAGAGAACAGAGAGAATGCGGCGCCGGGGATGTCTAAAAAAAGTGCAAACTTAGTGCATACAACAAATCGACAATTTTGTGACCAAACAGAAGATTTTGTTCCTGAGGGATGGAAGAAAAACAGCCAGAAGAGAACAGAGAGAATGCGGCGCCGGGGATGTCCGCCAACAACCAACCAAGGGAGGATGGAGATGGTAAGAGATGAAAAAACAGAAGTAAAAAAGATTAGAGTTTTGATGAATTGTATTATTTTGTAGAGGATAATGGTGTTGCTGCCTTGGCTGATGTCGTTGTCGTCGAGGAAGCAAGTAGCTCCTCCTGCAGTGCTGTCATCCAAGCGCCAGCCATTGCTCCTCCATCAGGGAATTTGGCTGGAGAAGATTCTGCACATCGTCGTGGTGTAGCAGTGCCGTTGCCTGCAGCAGCTCGTGCATGTATCGCACAATTTCCGCATCTCACCGAGAGCGGATGGACAAGATTGGGCGGCCTGATAGCTGCCATTTCGTCTGCTGAACTGATGACAATTACGACCAAACGGATTGTATCTGAGAGGAAGGCGGGTTAGCTCAGCTGGTTAGAGCGTGGTGCTAATAATGCCAAGGTCATGGGTTTGACCCCCTTACTGGCCACCAGTTTTGTCGGGTTAAAGGGTGGAGTCCCAACCAACAAAGGAAGTTACAAGAAAGATTTAAGTGTCAAAAAAGAAAGGGTACACAAAATCAGCCATTATTCGGCTGGGTACCTCTTAATGAGGGCCCTTCAAAAAGTGGGATTTTAATTCAGGATAAACAACAGGGCAGAAGCACACGCAGGCGTATAAGTGTCAAAAAAGAAAGGGTACACAAAATCAGCCGTTATTCGGCTGGGTACCTCTTAATGAGGGCCCTTCAAAAAGTGGGATTTTAATTCAGGATAAACAACAGGGCAGAAGCACACGCAGGCGTAAAAAGAAAGGGTTTGTATTCAACCTAATCAATCAGTAATTCCTGACACAAGTCAAACTTGCAAGTCAATTAACACAAAAACGCGAAACCGCAAAACAGGTCCTAACTTGTTCACTGCACCAGACTGAATGGCTCCTCAAGATGGACAACGACGTCCAAGTTGGAGCCCAAGCTCTGACTTGCTTCTCCCTCTCCCTCTCTCGCCATGCGCATGCGGGCGGGGTATGACACCGCTACCTTTGGCCGGGCAGCGGCGTCGGTAGCCTGACAATCTGCAGCACCATCACCAGTACAGCCATTGAAAAATGTGATTATCTTATCAGCACTATTGCATTTACAATAAGAGGACCATAAAAATTACTAAGTCAGCAGGAAGAGGACAATCTTTTTGCTTTATGCTCCAGATATTCCCTAAAATGTAGCTTGAAATAATATGATTTATGCATATTATTTCAAAAATTAAAAGCACAAAACATATTGGAAAGCAGCAGTCATCATCCTGTCCAGGCAAAAAACAAGTTAGAAGATGTGACAAGGCAATGAATGAAATTTGAATTGGGTTGCATATCAAAGTATTGCTGTTTATTGTTTTCCTACCAGACAGAACAATTTTTTCCCTGGAAAATCTGAATTTCAATTATAATCACAATTGCTGGATCTTTAAAAATGCATATAGCTCTCAGAAATTATTGTCAGTCAGTATTTAAGCTGACTGCTGTGGGTACAAGATTGCTGGAAAAGTGACCAGAGTGGGGAGTTACTCTGGACATGACCCCAAAACTGGTGCACACTGAGGTACATCACAACTGGGGTGCATGGGTTATTCTAGGGTTACAAGCATGCACCTCTGTAGATGAAATTTTGCTAGCATTGCAGGGCTACATTATAGGTGCACAAATGTGACATAACAGGAATATCACACAAATGCACCAACTTTAACCTTGGTGTAACTTATTTGTTTACAGACATGACCCTGAGTAATCCTGGCATGAACACACAATTGTCAATTGGTGTATATAGGGATATACAGTACATGTGAAAAAGAAGAACTTTGGTACACTTCAGGTGCACAGCAGGACATCATTGTGTAGAACTACAGACATATCCGCAGTGTGCACTAATTTTTGAAGTTGAAAGTTACAATCCTCAAGCTGAACCTTCCGGAAAAGTTTAGCTAGTACTGGACGTTTCAAAATATCAATTGTTCAGCAACAAAAAATACAATGCATAAAGGAGCATATGAAATTCTTCATTTATGCATACTTTTTATACAAGTGGACTCTCTACAAAAAGATACAAGGGAAATAAAAAAAACCAGAAAAATAAATTGCTGTTGAGAGAATTCTGTCATTTAAGACCTTTTGTTATATGTGGAATGAGTCCACTACTGTATGTTAAGTATGGACCAACTGTTGTATGGACAAAAAAATTCATCATACAGAGAAAACTGTTGTATAGGCACGATTGTTTTAGGGTGAGTCCATGTTTATTCTTATATTAAACATTTAAAAAAAAAGAAATTGTAAGGGCCCATTTTTAAACTATACACGAATGATTTTATGAGGAAACCTATCGCTATATTTTGAACAGAAATCAGATCCCATTATCCCAAAATTTGAGAACCCTGCGGATACACATTTTTGTGGGTCTACATTAATAAGAATCAGGTTCATATCATAAGTTTTCTTCAGTATATAGGGGATATACACGGGATTTCATTTCATTGACTCTTTCTTGCTCAGCTGATGCACTTGAACATATTGTATAATGGAAGACAAATTTGTGATCTGTAAATTTTAAAAAAACTTCACAATTTTAATACAACGAACAAAATAGGTGTGTGGGTTGTATGCAGCTATTAATTGATTTTTTAAATCTTCCATGCAAACTTGGGGGTGTGTACATCCACTATGGTATGACAGTCTATAGCAGTGTTCCCCAACCTTTCTGAGCTCAAAGCCAGCAAACTTCTTTGAATATTTTCGTGGACTGCATGGCAAATTTCAGTAACATTTTTTGTGAAGCAACAAAGTTCCATACACTTTTTACAGACAGCAGGACAATTTTAAATACTGTACCTGCCAAAAACTCCTCCATACAAAACTTTTATTGCAAAAATCCACATGGAACACCTATATGCAGTACAGTTAAATGTCTTTAGAAAATTGTTAGGAGCCGGGTTTCAAAAAAGATTTCTCAGAATGAAAAATTGGAAGAATTTATTTCAGCTGGATCTGAAAATTCCTCTGATGGGTTAATACAGGAGAAAATATAAATAATATTTTCATCAGATAATTTCAATGGCCATTGTCTTCCAGATAAAGATCTCAAACAAAATGTTTGCATTCAAATTACAAACCATTGCTACTTTTGATAAATTTATAATAACAAAAGAAATTTCCTTCTACAGACCTGCAAAACACTTTTGCCAATTCCAAGGAACAGGGGTGGCAGATCACTGGTCTATATTACATGGTTTTATACATTGCAGTTACAGGAAGTACTGTACAGTATTTTATCTTGTAACACCAATAAATACAAGCTAAACAAATTGAATTACTGGAAGAACTTACTTTATTTTTAGGATAAGAAGGGTATACATAAAGTGGTTGTATACATCAATGAATCATGGACTGAATATGACGCACCTTCGCATAGCAAGGAAGAATACTGTATTCAGCAGAACCTCATCCTCGCCTGCATAAAACATGAATCAGTTTCCAAATAGAACAACCAAAAGTCCCGGCGCAAAACTTTGGATATGCAAACATTCAGAGCAAACCTTGCAAACATCAGAGAGATGGCCGAGAATATAATGCAGAACCTTTTTTTTTTTCCTTTCCTTCCCGTTGCACAACATATGAGGTCGAGCGAAGAAAAAACAATCAAACGACATCCAACAACAGCGCTTCCCCAGCAGCAGCAGCGATTTACTTCATCAGATCATTGGCGTAAATATCCTCGAGTATGTATCTCAGATGCAAGGAAAGACTGTCGACGCCCAGAGCTGTAGCATGTGACATGCAGCCTTCGTCCATGAGCGTTTCCTCGCGCTTGGCCCGCCGTCCTCCTGATGCTGCCACATGGTACCATCGATGGTGGTGGTGGTTCTGCTGCTGCTGCTGGGGGACTCCAAGGCTAGTGCTGGTGCTGCTGGAAGACCTGCGGTCCTTGTGCGCCACAATGTGCGTCAACTGGGTCAGGGTGGTGTTGAATTTGTCGGGCAGACCCAGTTTGGAACGCATGTTCTCGCGGAACTCGCGCCGATCCTCCGGGGAGTAAACACGCACACCGTACGCTGTTTCCCCCGACGATGATGATGATCCTTCATCGGTTCTCACGCCTCCCTGAGATGCACCTTGGAATTCCTAATATGGAGGAAACAAGAGAAAGAAAAACGTCGTCATGACACAAATGTAGTACTGTACCCTATTTACTCAAGTAGCATGGGTGCCTTTTTCTCAAAATTGAGAGGAAAAAGGGAAATTCGCGCTACACAGGCGGGCTAATGTAAATCATTCAAGAAGAGTTGAACGTTCTGGTGTTCATTATAATGTTATACTTGACTCCAATTGGAAATTGTCGATCAGTTTTATCAAAAAACGTATTTTAATTGGAAAAAATTGAAAATTTATTTTTGGATTCAGGTTTGACTCACGTCTGAAAATTCAAATTTGTGTGTTTTGATCTCTGAAAAGACAGTAGAATCTCATTACAATGAATCTTGTTATAACGATGATTGATTACAATGAAGTACTTTTTTATAAAAAAACTTATAATGCAGTACAGTATTCCCTTTACAGCAAATTTATTGTTGGAAAAAAAACATTCTACTAGTCCAAACGGCTTTGTTGTGACAAGATTTTACTGCTCACGTGGTACCTCCCAATTCAACCTCCTACAATTTGACAATCAAATTTGCAGGGAGGTTGACATGCAATTTGACCCTTGCCCCACAATTCAACCTGCTTTGGCCATTTTTTCACATTTTTGAACTTATATTTTTGAATTTCATGAAGTGTCACACAATTTGACCCAAAGTTCAGCAATGGATTTGGGTCACATTGCAAGGTATCACCTGTACTATCTTTACTCAAGTACCACACACCTCTGAGTAAGATGCATACCACTTACCAGAGTTTTTCAATTGAAATGAAATTGTATTCGCAATATGACGCGCACCTTACTTGAAAAATATTTCAATTCCAAAACCAGAATTTTTTAATTAGACAATAATTAAATCTATAAGTTCAACTGGTTTTTCAACTGATTTCATTAAAACAAGTTTTTCTGTCAACCTTGGTCCAAACTTTCTCATCAGAATTAAATATCATGCATACCTATGTATAAAACTTGAAAAAAATTTTATACCTGCCTATAACGCGCAATACTCTTTCCTCATGTCAAATTTGAGGGGGGGGGGGACGTGCCAGTGATACTTGATTAAAAACGGGATTGCAGTTATAGGGTCAGGAAAAATGGGGTGAGCGTCTTACTATAAGGGATACAATTATCAGAATTATACACAGTAGAATGAGAAACCTTGGCGCTCGTTATATACTCAAGGGCGTGTGCTGCTGGTACTCAAGTAAATTTGGTCGTTCTCCTGCCAATTTGGTTTTCAAAAAATTACCACAAACTCACATTCGGCTCAAGAAGAGATGGCTTGTACTCGTACTGTTGTCGGAAGTCCTGCAACAAGGCTTGCAGATTTTGTCCCTCGTCAGCAGTCGGAAGGATGAGTTCTGATGGGCTTTGATGAGTGACTTCTGTTGGAGGAACCGACTGCTTCGATTCCTCAGCAGTGAGGTCGAATATCTGTTGTCGTTGTTCGGAATCCAGTAATGCCTCCCGGATACTGTCAATCTGCGCTTGTTCGTCATCAATCACCTGATTCATATCACCTGATGATGGATATTGCGGCTGTTGCTGAAAGTAGTCCACCGAGTTTGGATTCAGCGTTCTGAAACTGGATAAATGAAATTCAAGGGAATAAGGTGAAATACTTTCCAATGATCAGAAGTTTGTACCGCCATAATAATTCACTCACAGCAGTGACGATTATTCTGTATTATAGTACTGTACTGTAAAGTAGTTCAATTAAATTTTGGATGGTGAATAAATCGGCTGAAGTTCTTTTATAATTTTGATTCTTTCTTCATTATACATTATTTAATCAAGCGTTCATGTTTTGATGCTCAGTCTAACTGAGGTTAGACTAGGTTAGGTTATCATGTGAGGTCATGACATTTCCTTCTGTTTTGTTAACAATAAGGCAGCTAACTACAGGCGAAACATGCGTACTATATAGTTTTAAAAAATCAAGAACAAATTCATAAAGAATCCTTTGAAGCATAGTGACAGCTAAAAGCTTAATGTAAACAAATGAAAATAAAATGTGATTAAATCAGTTTTTAATCATACTGTACTTGTTCTGCATGGACATGTATGAACTTGGATGAGAAACTTTGTGGCATCAAATTATGTCTTTGCTACCAAAAAGCACGAAAACGCAGCCAGGTTTAGATTATTGCTACAGCATCAAAACGAGCTTTGTCAAAAAGACACTACCTTCAACAATAAATTTCAACCATTTGGAAAATGTAACGAAAATATCGTACAGACATGCACAAGTTTCTCTTTCCATAAAGGTTCCAATCAATCGAACACAAAATCTCGCTTTAAATTGCAAAATAAAGAGTGATACGGGTTTTGATTCTGGAAGATTTAACCCGATCAGGCAATTTCTGATTTTTTTAAACTTTGACAGGAGCTCATCCTCATGCTAAATAAAAATACAGTAATAACTTCCCCGGAAATTCTCGGATAGCTTAATCCTACTTATGAGTTCCTGTGGGGCAATTTTCGCACAGCACCATGCCACTCAATGTGCGCCATTTCATGAAAGCCTCACTGCACTGAGATGCATGATACCTCTGTCCTAGTGTAATGAACTCACCAAATGAACATACAATATTATGCAACTGAATGTGATGAATTGAAACACCGAACAGAGGAAATAAATTAAGCACTTCCAGATTCGATTACGCTTCCCATCGCTACAGGAATATATGGCTCTACCTGACTTAATATGATTAAAATGTACTCTTGGAAATTTGTAGGTGGGCATCATTACAGTCGTTTACGTTACGCACTTTCGACGGTGATGAAGCACAGTACAGTACTCGTTAATTAGGAGCTCGATTTTAGCGTAATTTGACTTTATTAAATTTTCTTTCCCTCTTACAAGTTCAATTATTTCAATTCTGCAAGAATAAATTACAGGAAGGACGCAAGAAAAAATGCGTTACAACGAAACATTCATAATACTGTTACTGTATGATCTGAAATTTGTTTTTCTCCCCTCAAAATTGTTACCTCCTCTTTCTCAGAGGGAAGTTCTATTGATAGATTGAAAAAATCGTAAACATTACTCGAAAATGAGTTACAGCAAAGAGGCTTTTCTCGTATAATTTTACTGCATTGAAAACTGCATTTTGCAGTGCGGAAAAATACAGTAAAAGTGTACAGTATTAGCATTGATGAAAACCGGGGAATTAGAGAAAAAATTATGAACAAACAATTCACCAAAAACGCAGGAAAATAGTATCAAATTCGGAAAGAAACTAGGTTTACATCAATTAACCGGGACACATCGTAAGGCAGCACTGTGCTGAAGAAACAGCATGGGCAATACATTATCAATCATGGAAAATGTTTTAGGGAGAAATTCGTTTTGCACTCACTCATATTTCGAAGTGTTCGGGTATCGGAAAGAGTAACACCCGTTCGGTCGTTGCCATGAAAGGATTTTCTGGAGCCATCCATCTCTGAAGAAGGTTCGAAACCCGTAAATGCCGCACAAAGTCACTGTGGAAAATAAATAATTGATGGAATGATGATTACGCAGCGAACAGACTCAAGAAAATGAAAAACACAGTAAAGAATATCAGGCATCATTCATGTCAAAGAAAAAAGTTACGCCTGTTATACGCGGAGATGCCTGCATTTGAAAAACATTATACAATACTGTATGATCAAGGTTCATACGGAACTAGGATATTTTCAGGGTTCGTCTGAATAGTATATTTGGCAGATGCTCCTCGCCCATATAAATTAAGAGGGCTTGCAAAATTTATAAATACAGTACTTTTAAGGATTATGAAAAAAGAACTTCTGCGTATACAGTAGTTCTGCAGTAAATTAGATCAAGCATAATGACGTGATTTCCCTACAGCACCAGAAATCTTGTGCAGCAATGGATGTCATGAAGCTTACGGGTATAAATATATTCGTCGCGTTTATGTGAGCAAATGTTGAGGAGCAGCAATTGTCGGGAAGAGTGTTCATGGATTTACTCGCACTACAAGGGGAACCTGAACATTTATTATCCCTCGCTTTCATGATTGAAAAGAACTGAGAAAATATGCCAGCACATTCTCAAAACCCATTGTTTAGTACATCAAGCAAAAGTTGAAAAAAGAAAACGTTGCACGTCACTTAATAAAGTGGAGGTTGGACATATAATTCGCCCAAACTCAAAATGTGAATATGATGCGCCAGCCGCGACTTCGCGTCAACTGACATCACCGCGAAGGTATATTTTTCGTTCCATAATTTCTAGAAAAATTCATGGTTGAGTACCTCATGCAACTGTAAAAATTAATCACGAAAAAAAACGATTTCCCCAGAAAACCATAATTACAACAATAGTTCAACGATTAACCCAGGTCATTCGTTTTTCTTCAAAATAACGCTTCAAGCTTCATGAACTGCTGCCCGCATAATACAGTACTCTACTTCAGTCGCGCGATATTCACCCATATCGACAAGATTGATTTGTGGTTCATCGCCAATCCTGTTTATTCAAGGGATTCAAAATATTTTTCTGATGGTTCATCACGGAACCAATATACACACGCACTGCTTATTTTATAAAAACTTTTCGGTTCATCAATAGATAATGCTTCCAATCATTGAAAACCACTTTGCAGAAATCAACAAATACCGCTCACAACATGCATACGAATCACGACTTCTTCGAACGGATTTGCTCGGCTCTCATCGTAGTGTGACAATGTGAGGCATTATCGCACTTCATTCTTTGCACTGAAATATCATATATTCACAAGCATTTCCTCAATAATGCAGTCGAGGAATAAGTCATCGTCGTTCGTTAAGCCACGAGGATGACTTCCTCGACTGCAACTGATCGCGTGATTTCACGGACTTATTATTGCGTAACACAATTACCCATCACCATGATGAGCAAATTCAATTTTACGCAGTATATATATATATATATATATATATACGAAACATAGCTTCTTATTCTAGATCCACGTCTTTTCTTTCTTTGGACCACGCAGCTTCAAACTGTCAAGACTTCAATACTGTACAGGGTTCTGACATTGCTCGCGTGATGCTGGGTTTCGCCGTGATGACTGAAAATGACGAATTGGGTCATCCCGCGGACACATGGCAATAACTGATCTATACGAGTTCATTCCAGGAAGGAGCCAAGCAGTAAATGCATCATGGACATCCGCACGGCCCAGCATGCAGGCGAGTTGTATCACAATAATAGCAAGAAGTCATTATCTGCTGGTATTAGTGGTATACAAGCACAGAATACCTGTTCATCAAAAGACATGTCTCTTATTCTGAAACGACGCGCGGGGGCAGCACGGGGCACCACATCCATGCACCCAGGAAAGGGTGTATAAACCGGTACAATATTATCCCCGCGGGGGCGGATCGGTGCATGTGGTCTTCTTTAAATTACCGACTTCGGGCACGCGAGACGTACGTACGGTGCTGTATAGCCCCAACAAGAAGCACGTCATCATCGCCCTGATCTCGTGCACTTCAGCCATTGACGGCGCGGCGGCTGTACGCGGAGCGACATGTTCGCGACGAACCCGACGGAGACAAGGTTTGACGTATATGTACAGCACTGTACTGTACATCGCAGGATAGACACAGAACTATACAGAAGACACGACACGCTTCGCCCCCGCAGGGTTGCCGCGTGAACAGACACTCCCTCTTCTCATCCCCTGGCCGTCGCCGCGAAACTTTCCAACCCATTGCCTGTTTCCCCGTTCCTGGGTTCGCACCTATTTTTCCCGTTCCGCGAACACCCTTCCATGCGGGTAATGATGCAATTGCTGAATGGACCTACAGCAGTCCTATTCCACATGGTTCGCGGTCAATAGAAATACAACCATCATGCCGATCTGCTTGGTATGTCACTCACTCCCTCGCTTCTTATTCCTCCTGGCGATGTTCATCTTTCCCACCTAGCTTGAGATGCGCCCTCCCTCTTATGTCATTATTGTTCCTGGTGTCCATTAAAGTACTCATTGCTGTTCCTCTATCTGGCAGTGCTGACTGCTGAGGGAGTATTACCACGCATTCGAAGCTGAATCTTCCCCACACCATGTGCGACGATCATGAACATCGTCTGCACATTAGGTTAGTCCCATTCATGTCGCTTACAAAAGTTGTGGCAGCTGAATGCAGCTCATCAATGGTCTAGCTTCATTTGCACTGGACTGGGAGCGGATCTTCCTTAATTTTTTTTACAAGTGAAGCAATAGGGAAAGTACAGTATATTTAGTGCGGATATTTAGTGTATATGTACTGTATATACCTTTGATTTTTACTGAAAGTTTACGCATAGGTCCTACTGTAATACCTTGCATATTCATGTGTATTGGACAATAAATATGCCGCGGTTTATGTTCTTTTATGATATGATAAGATGAACCGTATACAGTACATATAATACTTGAATCATTGTGCCCCATATAGGATGAACAGCAAATTGCTAATGTCATCTGCATATGATGAGCTGTTTCTGTAGGAAAGCTTAGATGAGCGTGAGTGGAATTCTGATGAGCATTATTATTGAAGGAATGTGAAATATTCACGCATCATTCGCCTTTGCAGCAGTGGCGTGCATGAGCTTATGAGCTCGCATAGTGATCAAAATGCATTATATTTCTGTATGTTTTGCTGACATTTTTCCTTTTGATTCTCTGTGATCATGATCTTCTGCAAATGACGAACATCCGAGGGGTTTCTTGCTGTTATTGCGGGGAACTCGAATTCAAATGATGTTCTGCGATTCATAGACCGCGATTATTCCAAGAAGATATGCCTCTGCTTTGCTGAAGTGGTGTGGGAGTTTCGGTTAATTGTTTCACAATTTTCATATCAAAAATACCCGCGCGTATATGCTTTTAATAATAATATTCGCAGCACGTTTACAGCCGATGATGACGACGAGTTATTGTTTTTTGCCTAACGATGCTTTCATACCAGTTTTTGAGTCATCTGAATTCTTCAAGGAAAGCCGGCCTTGGTTTTCTTCCGGGAAATGTCTTGAGAGACAGCCACTTCAACAAAATATCCCGGCAAATACTGTAGAAAGAATATTTAAAAAATTGATAATCTCTTGTACAAATCAAGCTTTTCATATTTACAATTAAAATTTTTATTATAAATTTGCCAGGATTCATAAACCAAAACAGGCTGATTATGAGATTGTTTTTTCATCATCTGTGCACTGCATTGGATAGGAGAACTTGGGCTTGTTTTTTGCTTCTTGATGGACTCCTTTCATGCCAAAAAATCAGCTTATATGGTGCTTTTTTCTACACTGTTTTTTTTGGCATCATATAATGATGAGAAGACTTTCTTTCAGGTTTTGATTAATAGGAGAACCTTATTGAACATACAGTGGAAACCCAACATAGCGCCCATGCCCTGGCACATACAGACAATTCCACTCATAGGGAAGTTAGAGGGGAGCAAAAGTTGCGCCCAACATGCTGAAAGAAACAAAAGATAATTTCACTTTTCCAAAATTTCTGCAAAAATGTTTAAAATTACTATTTCCAAATATTTTAAATTCCTCAAGAAATGGAGCTACCGTATTTGTATTTAAAAATATTAAAATAAATTCCATTCCAAAATTATAACTAAAAACCAGGCAAATTTTTGCAGAGTTTTTTCCATCATGTGTGCACAAATTAGCAAGACTTGTTCTTGTCCTTTGCTCTTTCTGGTGCAAAAAGATCAAATCCTGCATGGTTTCCTGCTGTACATTTATGTTCTGTTCTGTCTGGAAGTTGGAGAGAAAATGTATTCAGATTTTGTGGACTGTGTTCAAAATTTTTTGTGTACTGTTGAACCAATTACTGTATTAACTCGAGTACCACGCACACCTTTTTTTCTCAAATTTCAGAAGAAGAAAGGGGAGCACATCATAATACACATTTTTCAATAAGTTTTAGGAAGTTATATGTGCATTATACTCAATTATGAAGGATACATTTCAAACAAATGTAACAAGAAAACTTTTTTGTACTGAAAAAGTTGAAAATTGATCCAATTTTTGTTCAATTCATGTCTGAAGTCAAATTTTTAAAATTTATTTTTGAAATTTTGTGGTTTTAGATTCACTAAAATTGGGGAGCCTGTCTTACTCAGGTATAAGATTTTAGCCAAATTTCCATCTGAAAAATTTCTGTGCGCACCTTACTCAAGGGGGCATGGTACTGGAGTAAATATGGTAAATATGTTCCCATTGAAGTACTGTATATGGGAAAATTAGATCTGACATACAGACTACAGTATATATAGTGTCCAACTTATACAGGGTCAAGATCCAAGCAACATAACTATATGTCTGCATCTCAGTAGGGCTCCACATTTTGTTCATTTTCAGTTGGTCATTATGCTCGACACGCTGGGGATGAAGGGATTGAAACCCCAGATACATGTTTGTATCTGCTATACTTGACCCTCTCTCTTGTGTCGGACGTATTGCGATGCGATGCGGGTAAGTTATATGTTTACTCTTTATATACGAGTATATGTACGACTTCCTATAGGAGTGTTGGGTCAAGGCGACGTCAATAAGCTGCATTGCCTGAATCCCACGTCGGGACACCAGAAAACCCCGGGCTCAGAGCAGCTCTGGGATCCCCCAGGGGGAAAGCATCCAATCTTCGCGGCCCCCGGCAGAAGATCCCCCTTCTCTGGATCCTCGGCACCCCGACACCCGACACCTGACAAAGTTGTGGATACCGACGGAAATAGCGAGCCAGAATCGGATGCTGGCAACTGCAGCAAGTAAACTGACACTTTGCCTGCTTTATTCCTGCCATTTGATCTCTGCTTTCCCTGTTGTATTCCCGGCGAGCAAGTCATTCGGATTCACGCCTGGAAAATTTTCTTTCTCATCATTTTTATTCCAAAATCTTGGATGTTTAAATGCAGTGGGTCCCTGAACAACCAGCCTAATTCATTCCAGGGGTGGTTGGTGTTAGAGACTAAGAAGTCTCAACAAAGAAAATATGAGAATAATAAAGGAAACACAGCAATCAGCCTGGGACTGGCTGGGAGCCTCTTCATAGAGGACCCAAAAGACTTGAGTATTTAATAATGTTCCAAAGAATAATACAACTCAGAGAATTTTTGACTTTGCACACACATACTTTCACACAACACAATGGTAAAATCAGATGTCTTCAGAGCTCTTCACACTTCAATAATTGGCAGTGGAGTGAAATCTGTGTTCCTGGATGTTAAGACAGAAGAAAGAGAAGGAATGTAGTTATCCTTGCGGGTAAAATATTGGCCTCTGATTGGCTGATTACGTTGGAATTGAAGACAATGCTGTGCATCATTCACAATACTTCTGGGACTCATTTTTTGGAGTTGGGCTACTACTGAATGACCATTTTTGGGATGCAGCAATGCAGCTGGGATTATTATTATACTTCTTAATTTTGGGTGCCCAACTCACTCCC